TAAAAAAAAGGCTGAAAACTAACCCCGATAAAATGATATCCTCTCTGGAAAGAAACGACCACGTGAGACTGCTGTCGAAAAGCTCAACGACTTTTTCGAAGTGGTCAGGAATTTGATAAATAGATTTTATCTCGAATTCAAACTCGTCCCCACAATTAGAAAGCTTTTGCAAAAATTGCAGGAAGAATCGAATTTTCCTTTTGCAGGGAAACGCTTAGGGGGTTATTAAAATCAAATGAATTTTTTTGGCGTAAATGTTAAAATAACAGATAAATATTAATGGAGCGGCCCATTATATTGCAGAGAGAGATATAAATATATATACGCGAAATTCGAAAATATAGCCAAGTATTATCTATTTGGATGTAACATATGGGTAGACAATGACCTAACCTTTAAAAACTGCTGGCGGAGCGATACCATATCTGGTGTAATAGGCAATATCAGATCTACTGATGAGTAAAATTATGTTTTGTTTGTGCTTCCAAAGTTAACTATTTTCAAGATTTTTTTTTGCTGGAAATAGTTATATCTAAAATTATGTATTATAGAAAAAAATATAGTTAGTACAGATATATAAATATATATACCTCAAGACTCAGTCTTGATCATCTGCTGATGGCAGACATGGTTAGCGAAACGTGCGTCCAGTGTAAAATTAAAAGTGTTTTGGTGTATTGTACTGATTTAGTGTTTTATTTTGCTGTGTTCCAACCCCCAGCTGTAATTATTTCTTCTATTATATTAACAACACAATAATAAAATGATTCAAAATATTTAAGGGAGCTTTAATAAAAGCTTTTAGTGTTTATCTGCTAACTCAACAGTAACGATTCAAACAGCATAAAGTTTTTTGAAAAAAATTATTAATCTGAGTATTATATTTATGATACACATTATTTTCATATAACACCGTACGCCCATGCCTATTTTATGAATGAAATTGGGCGTGTTTTGTTTACAACTGCGTTCCCCTGCCGATACCCCGTAGCTACAGATCCGTTGGTCAGACTTTAGAGTTATAGCCAATTCTTATCCTTTTTGACTAATTTCACTTAGTTAGCCATGGCTATCAAACGCAGGTCTACCAAAAATAGGATCGCATACTGGTGGTTAATAGTCAGAAACTCGATTATTACTGTTATAGTCTAAGATCCGGCTGCAGGATTATTTTTTAATCAAAACTTAATTTTTACGTATATCTATGAATAGAGGCAAATAGAGGTTGCCACGGTTCAAAGGGTTTCCCACTAGTTTATACGGGTATATGGCAATCTTGCGTCCGATAGAATGAAAAACTTTGTGTTTTTAATGTATGTACTAGGATGTATTTCAGGAAAATACTTTAACTTCTACAGGGTGGCTCAAAAATGTGCGTGGATTGGGATTTGGGATGATTTTTTAATGGAACACCCTGTATATTATTGCACTTTTGGCTTCCTTTTTTCCTTTCTGATCGCTTTACATAGTCCTAAGATATTAATAAATTTGTTTTTCTAATTCCACATTTATAAATAAATAAAGAAAAAAAATATATTTTTCTGCTTTTCTCAAAAAAAATATTAAAAATACAAAAACTGTTCTGAAATCAAAACTATGCTAGCTACTTACTAAAGTACATAGTAAAAAATAAAACTATAGTTGGTATGTACTTACTTTATTATACTTTTTATAAATATCGTAACCTTGAATCATACAGGGTGTTCCAATTTCGAAACCAAACTTTCTATAGCTATAAATTAATTTTTTTTCTTTTTTTAATACAGAACACTTTGTATTATTGGTGATATGCTAGAGACTTTACTGAAAAATTTGATTGCTTCGGTTAATGTATAATAAATAGAAGCAGATTCAAATGCTCTTTGAAACTATATTAGGATTTCCTATACCTATTTAGCTCAGGTTTTTAATAAATAGCAATTTTTCAATAAAATGGCAACCAAGAGGACTGGTGTCGTCATGACAATAAGTTTCTAGTGACAGTATCAATTTTTAAAATCGAAATTAGTTTATGACTTCATTTAAATTTATAACCTTTTTTACGGTTTAGTTTTATTTAATTTACCTACAATAGTTTAATAAATAATATTTATTAAATATGTTTTTATTAATTTATCAAGGAAAACGAAAAAGTAGTTATTTGATTTATTTTACGATGACTTGTAGTTATATACATTTTCTATAAAAGAATCAATTAAGGCAAATTCATTATTTTCACTTCCAGCGACAGGTTTCTGCATCTAGGAATAGGACAAGTAGTTTTTCAAAAGAACGCTTATCAGGAAGATTCCTATTTGGATATCTTTTAGCATAAGTCCTTGAGGTTAAGAAGCAATTTTTCTCACAAAATAAAATTACTAGTAACATATTGATTCGTTCCGCCATCACTAGCATGACTTTATTTTTTTGATAAAATAATAAATACTTACTTATTAAACTATTATGAGCAAATTTAACTAAACTGCTATAAATCTAAATAATAAAGTCCAGAAACTAATATCAATATTTAAAATAGTTACTAACTGTCACTAGAAAAAACTAACCATCTTAATTGCTATTTTATTGAAAAATCGCTTTTTATTCAAAATCTGGGCTAGTATAGGAAACCCTAATATAGTATGAATATAATACCGCATACTAAAATATGTTAATAGAAAGTTGGTAGGCAGTTCTTTTAGTTTCAAAGTAAAGGAAATTTTCCAATTTTTTTTTATCTCAAAAACTGCGACTTTGACTGATTTTGATGTTATTAGAAATTTTGTTGCAAATATTATTCCTAATCTTAAATTGAAAACCGCGTTTCGCTAGCTACTGTAATTTTGGAGTTACGATTTTTTAAAATTTTTAACCCCTCCCATACCCCCTTACCAACCCCCGTGTAAATTTAAACGTATTTGCATTTTTCCAATTTGGGTCCGCGGTTATTTCCCTTATCCGCCACCTGGGGTCGCGTCCGATGGGACTCCAAACTCCCATCGGACGCGACCCCAGGTCCACACGGATTTTCTTTTTTTTTGTTTTTTTTTAATAAGTTTTATTTCTGTAGGAGATGGACGAAAACTAATATCGGTGTCTGGAGCTCAATTTTTATCAAAAACATGTTGGAGTAAACCGCATATCGATATCTATTACCGTTTCGGAGTTACGAGTTACGGTGTTTTTCAAATATGTGCATTTTTAACAAATCGCTGTAACTTGCTATGGAAAATTTTGTATTTTTGTGAAAATATTTTCAAAGCACCTTTTTACGTAGAATTTAATGGTTTAAGTATAATTTTTTTAAACTTTATAATTTAAGAATTACCAACAGAAAATTTAACATTTGATATGGGACACCCTGTATATTTTTAATTTATTAAAAATAATTTAAAATTACCTTTCCAAAAATATAGCACACTTTATATTTTGCTCGATTCCTCTTCGAGATATAGAGTTTATTAAAATTCTTTGAACGGCGCCGGCTGTAATGCAAAAAAATATTATATCTACTTAAATTGAAAACCGCGTTTCGCTAGACAGACACAAATATTTTGTATTTCCTAAATAACTCATTTTAAGTGAAATTAAAAAGAAAAAAAATTGCCGATCCTAATAGCCTACCATACCTATTGGTATGGTCGGCTAAAAATATAACTTTGGTATGGACCTTAGTTCTGAAACACCCTGTTTATTTCAAAATAATTTTAAATTGTGCACATTACCTACCCATAAAATATTTTGTTTCTACATCTTTCCGATTTCGTATAAACAAGCGCATAATCAACCGAGGCGAATGAGGTGCACCGCTCTGAATATAATTATGAAAATAACATAAATAAAGGTAATTATAATATATAAACGAACGAAAATAAAACTAAAATGTGATGGAATAATATTAAGCATAAGTGTATATTTTTTTACTTCAGAAACTTTTAAAACTATATAATGTTTGATTTTATAATTAATTTGATAAACCCTTTCCCGGATAGTATAATGATTTCCGGGTTCCATGCAGGACATCTCACCTAAATCCGGGATTTTTCAGGAAACCTGAAAACCTTTTGTCTGGCAACCCTAATTCTGACTAAAATCTAGCCTACTCTGATAATAAGTAATTGAGTAAAATTAATGCAATAATTATTAAACTTGTTAGAGGAAATAATTCAATAAAAACCAGGTGAACCGTAAAAAGTGAAACCCATATACCTACATTATTATGTTAATTACATACTTAAATTATAATTTTAATTGGGGTATGGAACATTCTATAAATATTTACCTCTGTAGTGATGTTTATAGAAGAAAACATATACAAAATTACAGCAATTATTGTTTTAATTTAAAAAATTTAGGTTTATATTAATAAACAAAAGCTTGAGATCTAATAAGAGTATGTAACTAAACATACACCACTTAATGTACCACCACATACTAAATTAGTTTATTAAATTAGTTTGTCTGTGATACCACTGACAGGTGTTATTAATTAATTATTGTTACATGTTATTAATTAATTATTGAAATATTAAACATCTTAAACATTTAAATATACAGGGTAGAAAATTCCCATTGATTTCTAAATAAAGTTGGTAATCTAATAATACGGTCATAGGACTCAACAGGTACATGATACCGTATGATAAAAAAAACGACGTCCAGTTGTCTTGAAAATAACGATCGATAACATTCCCCATATAATTTTACTTATAAAATGACTCCCATATTCATTTCATAGGTATCCGTACTATCGAAAAAAATGGTGTCCAGTTGGCTTGGAAATGACGATAGATAACATTCCCCATATAATTTTACATATAAAATGACAGCCATCTTCATTTCGTAGGCATCGCTGACCGCCATAAAATAATCATAATATTTTACATAATAAGTATATATATTCATTATTAAAATAGTACAGATAAAATGGATCATGAAACATTATACAGTAGATTTACAAAAGAGGGAGAAACCTTATATCGCATTTCAACTTATTATACAAAGTTAGTGTGTAAGGTTTTTGCCCTAGTTTAGTTATGTACATTTTGCTGTTTTAATGTGGATAGAGTGAATTTTATTTCTTTTAATCTAAGTAAGTACATATTTCGATAATTAATAAAAATGTTAATTGTTGTATCGATAACTTGTGCCTATTAAATTAGAAAAAAAACTGTTTTAGTTACTAGATGGACCATAAAACATTTTTTTTTATAAAATGATCTTTATTTAACGCCCTACAAATGTTTTTATTTTGTTTCTGTCACTTAATTTTTTTCTGTATCCATACTAATAAACAAATTAATGGTAATCAGTAATTCGATTTAATACTATTTTTGAAACATAACAATTTAGAAAACTAAGTATCTTTTTATTATAAACCTAAAGCTAAAATCTTCTCAATATCGCGCCTTTAGAATAGGGTGAGTCTTATTTAAATAACTTCAAATATGTTTAGTGGTAGAGTATGTTCCGACACCAGAAAAACGTCTCTGAGGTTTTCCCCGCGAATTTTTTTTTTTAAATTTGGCAAACGTAAAAAATGAACATGTACTGCCAAAATACCATTTACAGAAAAGCTACTGCTAATGACTGCGAAGAAGACTGCCTATGTCTGCCATATAATTATACCGGGTGCGTCTAAAAAGTGGTTCACCCCTATAGATTTTTTCAGATAAAAAAACGGCATTTGGTACGTTAGTATATGACATAAATTAGGATTGATTGGCGTATTCAATTGATTTTTGTCACATTTTGTTTCACCAGAAATGTCTACAACTTTTGATTTTTAAACGGCACCCTCGGCATATTTTTCTTTATTCGATAGAAGAATGAAAATGACACTATGAATAGAATGACGTATTATATGGCAATTTTAGATATTTTAGCTTAAAAAAAATCGTATTTTAAATTTCAATCTAGAGTGCCAAACCAAACCAAAAACACTATTTTTCTCATGGAAAAATATGAATGTTTTTCGTGTCTTTTTCTGGCCGGTTAAAAGATCCATAAATTATATTTTTAATCATATCTCAACTTTTTCAAAGGTGTGGCTTATTAGCATATTTGAAAAAAGTTTTTTTATGAATAATTTGGTACCTGGTCTTGGTTTTTTATCTGAAAAAATAAAAAAGTTATAGAATTGAGCGAGTTTTGACTGTTTTGAGACGCACAGTGTATAGTCGACTGATACCCAACGATTGCCAGCGGTTGCGAAGAAAAGGTACAATACATGTAATTCCAACTCTAGTGGATTAAATTTTCAAAAAAAAACAGAAAAGATCAGTGGTTCTCAAAATTTAAGCAAAAATTGATTTTTATTTAAATTTCAAAGTAAAATAACTCGGTTATTTTGGACTTATTTTGAAAAATGGCAAAGAGAAAAATGTTTCTTTTATCGAGATCTTCTAGGCCGTAAAATATTTGCAACTATTTAAGATTTCACGTTGTATATTTTTTTAGATATATTTGCGACCCTCTTAGATATACAGGATGAGTCTTAAATAAGTGCAACTATTTTCAGTGCTGATAGATCTCCATGAAAGAAACTTATTTTCTGTTTGCCGTTTTTCGAATGTCTAAAATAACCGAGTTATTTTATTTTCAAAATTTAAAAAAATGATTTTTTGCTGAAATTTTGAGAACCATTGGATGTTTTCTGGGTTTTCTTCTTTGGAAATTTAATTTACTAGCTCTGTTACTATATTATCAAGACATTATGTTTTTTAACTAAAAACTAAAAAAAAAAATTGCAAAAAATTCTAAATTTTCAAAATGTTTTTTTTGCGAAAAAAGTTATAGTGTTTCTAGAGTCGAAATATACTATCCCTAAAAATATTTACACTTATTTAAGAATCACTCTGTATTCTTGGACAAATTTAAGCTAGCTTATATGGGAGTTTTGGGGAGGTTCAAGTCAGATTTTATAATAAAACTAGCGTGTACCCGCGACTTCGTTCGCGTCAAATTAATCATTTGTAATGGTGATGATAAAGTAAAGCAAGAATTTGCATTAACATATAAACTGGATAAAACTTTCTCACATTTATGTCAGCATGAGAAACAATATGGCGATACTATTATATAACTTGGTAATATTTGAGGGATAGTTTCATCTCGTTGGAATTTGACTTTCGAAAAATCCGTTTGCCAAAAATAATCTTTTTACGTCAAGCAGTTTAAGCAGAATCGTGGTTAATCAATTACCCAACTTTTTGGAACACCCTGAGTGATTTTTTAAAAAATTTCAAAATATGTAAAAAAACAAAATAAATTATGCGTGTCCAAGCGTTTTCCCGAAAGACTAACCGTTTTTTAAATAACAAATATTGTAATATTTGAGGGGCGTTTTCACCCTCTTGGAATTTGAGATTCGAGAAACCCCTCCTTACCGAACCTCTACACCTCACAGTCAATCCGTTTGCCGAAAATCAGCTTTAAACGTCAAGCAGTTTAAGCAGAATCGTGATTACTCAATAGTCATATTTTATAAAACACCCTGTATAAATTTTTAAAAAATCTTAAAATGTGTAAAACAACAAAATAAAATATACGTGTTTAAGAGTTTTTCCGAAAAACTCACCGGTTTTTAAATAAAAAATGTTCTAATATTTGAGGGGTGGTTTCACCCCCTTAGAATTCTAGTTTCAAAAAATCCCTTCTTATCGAATCTCTACACTTTAAAGTCAATCCGTTTTCTAAAAATCAGCTTTTTACGTCAAGCGCTTTAAGCAGGATCGTGATTAATCAATGACCAGATTTTTTGAAACACCCTGTATACATTTTTAAAAAATCTGTTAAAAAACAAAATAAAATATACGTGTTCCAGCGTTTTTTCGGAAACTTGACCGTTTTTTAAATAAAAAATATTGTAATATTTGAGGGGTCGTTTCACCCCCTTGGAACTGGAATTTCGAAAAATCTCTACTTATCGAACCTCTACACCCTAGAATCTACCTGTATGCCAAAATTGAGCTTCTTACGTTGAGTTGTTTGAGCAGGATCGTGATTAATCTAATAATAAGTATGTCAGTCACTTAAGGATTTTATATATTAGTATAGATAATATGTAGAAAATGTATTTATCGTTTTAATATCTAACATCCATTCTTTGCTTAATTTTAGAAAACTTACTCTGAAATGGAAATAGAAGAAACTTACACTACCAATTCCTTAACACAAAGAATAAGCTTTGGCTTAGGACATATTTTCAATGACTTGTGCGCCGCTATATGGTTTTCTTATATGCTATTTTACCTTCATGTGGTGTTAAATTTGGAAAGTACCACCGCAGGGATGTTGCTAATGTTAGGTATGGATAAAAACCGCATAAATATTGACTATAAATGTCTATTTTTTTCAAATACAAAAATTAGAGAATCCAAAAAACCTATTGAAAAGAAGTTTATTTCTTATTGTAGGTCAATTGGTAGACGCTATTGCAACGCCTTTAGCAGGATGGGCAATTGATTATACTGGAAATAAAAGAATCTTACATTTTGGAGGTACAAAGTAGCAAAATATATAAATTAATTATTTATGAAATCATTTATCCTGAAAAATAACGATATTATTTGCTAATTAGATCATTTTGTAGGGACAATAGCAGTTGCAACAGGATTTTCTTTAATTTTTTCGTACAAACATGCAGAGCTAACAACAGCAGCCATATTACACTATGTTTTAGCTATAGCACTGTTTCAAATAGGTTGGGCTGTTGTACAGATAGCCCATCTGTCTATTATTCCGGATATATCCAGAGACCATAGTCACAGCTCTGATTTAACAGCCATTAGGTAATAACTGATATATTTATATGACATATTATGTCGTAGGCACAAAGCAAATTTCGGCAAATAGTCATTTGTCTAGGAATTTGCTATGTGCTATGGCAATTAGCAAAATTATTATAAACATCAATATTTTGCGTGTTACTATTTATTTAGTATATTATGCCGTTTTTCACGTTAGTTATTTGATAAATGCCCAGAATAGATTAAAGCATATGGATATCTTAATACAATTATTTTACGTTTTAACAACGATTATTGCCTTTGGTTTTAACTAGACATTTAGTAGTTGTCCAGTTGTAGTAGGATATTTGACAAATGCTGTTAATGTGAAGACAATAACGCCATGGTCTAGTGGTCCTCGTCTACTTTTGCAAATGTATATGTTACGGTTAAAGTCCGATGTCCGGTTAATGTCGACATTAACATGTTAATGTTTGGGTTAGGTTATGTTTTTGGTGGTTTTCTTGTGTGTTAATCTCGAGATTAACCGGGTAATGTCGACATTAACCGGACATCAGACCTTAACAATAAGAACAATAGTATTATAGGTTTAATGTTTTACTATTGTCCTTCTTACTTTATTATTGATATTTTAATTAATACAGACTTTGAACAAACATCTAGAAATTAGCTGTATCCATTTATTAAATAAATTATACATATTTTACAATGCTTTTATGGATTTATGAATAAAATTGTGTAACATATTTTGCAAGTATGACTTTTACGATTTTGAGCAATGCTAGTTACTTTCCAATCAATCAAAACAACGCTTTAGAGATTTCTTTACTTTATTGTACCATATAATTAGTGGTACAATACTTATAATTTGACGACTTGTTACAACCTTTGGTATATTAGGACATCTTTAATACCAATATCTTTATGTCTCAGAATATATAAACCTCTCAGCAAAAGCACGCATTAGAACTGCTATTAAGGCCAATAAAATTTGATTAATGGTGCAATACCTTCTTCTAGACGTATTTAGAATATTACTCTATATTTTTATAGTAGTAGAGTGATCCTATTCTACATATTGATACTCAAAATTGTTTTTGAGATTGGAGCTACGCAATAAAAATTCATTTTATTCAAACTTCATTTAAAAGACACGATGGCAAATGGCTAGGAAAAGACAATGAAAAAAATCTAATCAAATATTGTATTCTAAATCTAAAATTTTTAGATTAATTTATTAATAGCTTTATTTTATTTTAGGTACACTGCTTCAGTATGTTGCAGCATAACAGTATATGTCATAACACTTTTTGTCTTAAATACCGATGACATTTCCGCTATAGGACCTGCTGATTATATAAAATTTAAGGTAAGTATACAGGGTGTCCCAGGCTGAGCGTGCATTAGAAGTTTCTAGAGAACTACAATATCTACATCGGAGATTTTTTTGCACATCATTGTTTCACAACGAGATCTATCGATTAAAAATATTTTTGTAAAACTTGGAAAATAAGTTGGTTATAATAATGGTTTTATAATTCGGAAACTCTCTATTTATTTATCTAGTAATGCTAAAACACTCTATTTGAAAGTCGATTAGAGAAAATAGTATGATTCATTGGCAAGTAATGTAAATATTTACGATCCGGTAAAATTGTGATGTAAGAGGAGGCTTAGCTTGCCTGCGGCAGGTCAGTAGTAGATAGGCCTGCCGGCTGTTGTTTTGTGTTTTGTCATAGAGCTGATATTTGGGGGTTGAAAGTCTTTTGACTATAAACGTTGCATGTACTGTAAGGCAACGGGACTTGACCAGAAGAAAACCTCTTTTGACGTCTTGCCTTCGAGGTTGGTCTTGAGAGTTTGAGGTCTCCCTTGTCTTCTCGATTGACACGATGCGGCGTTGGGGTATAGAGACCAGTGAGGTATCCCAATTAGCTTATTCAATTGGGATGCGAATCTGTTTAGCGGCAGAATTGCGTCCGGGGGAAGCCCCTATACTATTTCAGGTGACACTAGCTAGTTGTTTTAAGATGATTAACCAATATATAACCGAATGATATTTGAATTAGATGGAAAATATGGAATGGGATATATTGAATAGAATATATCAGTGGCTAGGGGGCGGAGTACCCCCGGGTGAGTCTTACTATTTAACTATCAATTTTATCCAGATCAGTAAATGTTTGTTTTGTTATTTTCATGTACCATGAGAGAGTGCTTGCCAATGACCATCTAAATGGATATTTGAGGTGAATTTGCATTGTGAGACCCGGTTGAGTAAGCCCCAAAAATAGCGATTTTACATTTTCAATACGGCGGCACTTCCGGAAATAACGGAAATTTGCAATACCGGAAGCAACTTTCTTATTTTAAATGGGTGCCCACATTTTTTATTACATACTTAAATTCTTTGTAAAATTCTATGAATATTGATGTTAAACGCTCTATATCTAACATTAACCGTTTTTGAGAAAAATAATATTAAATTTAAAATATTTCGACGAAAAAAACTGCCTGTCAAAAATATGTGTATAGTCTAAACGTCAAATTTAGTGTTTACCACAGTCACTTTGCCATAAAGAGAAGACACGTGGCTATCTATTTCAAAAATTAAATTGTTCAAATGTCGTATAATAATGGCCGCAGCTGTCATGGAATTGAGCGATAAAAAATTATCATAAATCATTTTTTTCAAATAGAAACCCACTTTTTTATTTCACTAGTGAACAGGCTTTTCAATTCGTTACTTTTTGACTATACATGTTGATCTACCTAAAAGAAATCGTTTTTAAGTTATTTAACATTTAGTTTTAAAGCGTATATTTTTCTTGATTTTAACGAGTAGCCTATGACTTTAAACGTCAAGTGATGTAAAACAGTAGATCTGGCCATATCATATTGTGACACTTTGTTCAAAAAGCAGGATGTTATCGATCATCATTTACAAGCTAACTTTGCGCTGTTTTTTTTCGATCATACGGTATATTATTAATAATTAATAATATCAACTATTAGATATCACTAAAGAGCGAAAATACGACATATATTTTTATAAATACACTTTTTAAACTCTTAAGGCAGGCCGTATTTATAATACAGGAAATTCAAATTATTCTTTTTCTGACACAGGGAAATAAATTATATTCGCGTCCAGTCCGAATGTATTATCTTCATTTTTCTATACGTAGTACCGTCCCTGCGTGCACAATTTTAAAGCTATAAGCTAAATTCCCTCCCGCTACCAGTCTATGTGGCCGCGCCGGCCCTGGCGCGGCGGTCGGTATTCATTCGTCTTTCGTGCACGGTGCAGTGCGGATCGTAGCTCTCCGATTTCTTCGTCGTAGATCGATGAAGCCATTTTGTTTATTCTCTACTCATTTTGGATATTACTATGTAATATACGGTGTTCTACAGCTAGGTAGAACACAAGGAACAATATGTAAGTATTGTATAATATTTATTTTTAGAGAAAAACGAAGTGGACGTAAATAACGGAATATTAGAATTAGATAAAAGAAGAAAACAATAAGAATATTATATATATCGGACTGTTGTACTCTCAGTGAGACAAAGTTCGTACGTGTAAAGAATGTCCTTCTCCTTGTAAGAGGAATTCTCATTTATATAAGGTTCTATATCTCGCAGTCAAGAGAATATTATAAATGCCAAAGTGTTGCATCTCCGAGTGAGTCAAATTTCGTACTTTTAGAGGATGGCCATATGAGAGAGATTCCTTTTATAAGTCAATATTGATATCCCACTATCGAGAGATAAATTACAGGTATCACAGGTAAGTATCTTATAATATTTATTTTCAGGTAATTAAATAATGGAGGGAAATAATTGAAGTGGAAGCAAATCTCTAAATGTAGAAATTAGAGGCAAGGAGGAGACAATGGAAGTAGACAAATGGAGAAAGCAATAAGAATATCGTATATATCGAACTGTTGTGCTCCCAGTGAGACAAAGTTTCCTATTTAGAGAATGCCCTTCTCCTCGTGAAAGGGATTCCTATTATATGAGGTTAGAAATCTGGCTATCAAATAATATTATAAATATCGAACTGTTGTTTTCCCAGTGACGCAAAGTTTCCTATTTATAGAGAATGCCCTTCTCCTCGTGAGGGGGATTCCTATTGTATGAGGTTCTAAATCTCTCTATCAAGAGAATATTATAAATACCGAAGTTGTGCCGAAGTGTTGTATCACCCAGGGAGTCAAATTTCTCATTTTTCGAGAATGGCCGTCTCCGTGTGAGGGATTCCTTTTATAAGTCATTGTTGATATCCCCTATCGAGATATTAATTACACGTATTACCGGTGAGTATCTTATAATACTTATTTTTAGGAAATTAAATAATGAATGGAAATAATTAAAGTAAAAGCAAATTTCGAAATATGGAAATTAGAGGCAAGGAGGAAACAATGGAATTAGACAAAAAGAAAAAATGAGAATAACATATATATATCGAACTGTTGTCCTCTCCGTGAGACAAAGTTTCGTACTTACAGAGAATGCCCTTCTCTTCGTGAGAGGGATTCCTATTATATGAGATTCTAGATCTCGCAATCAACAGAGTACTATAAATGCCGAAGTGTTTTATCTCCCAGCAATGAAATAAGGTATGAAACAAAATTTTGTACTTTTAGAAAATGCCTATCTCTGGAATGGATTTCTTTTTTTATGAGATTTTAGATCTCACTCTCAAGGGAATATTATTTATATATTTAGGTGCCAAATATTTGTATCTCCCAGTGAGACAAAATTTCGTACTTTTAGAGAATGCCCATCTCCGTGTGGGAGGGATTTCTTTTATACGTTATCGATAGCCTTATCGAAAAATTAATTACACGTATTACATGTAAGTCTTTTAGAATATTTATTTTTAGACGAATATTGGATGGAAATAAATAGAAGTACATCCCGAAATGTGGGGATTAGAGGAAAGGAGAAAACAAAGGGATGAGGAATATTGTATAAACACGGACTGTTCTTCTCCCAGTGTTCTTTTCATAGCGAGACAAAGGTTAGTACTTTTAGATAATCCTCTACTCCGTGTGAGAGGGATTCCTTTTTTAAGATATTCCAGAGCTCGCTATCGAGATAATATTATAATAACCGAAGTGTTGTTGTCTCAATGATACAAAATTTTTTAATTTTAGTGAATGCCCTTCTCCGTGTGAAAGGGATTCCTTTATAAATGACGTTCTCGGTCTCGTTATCGTAGAAGTAGATTTCACAAAAGAATTTCAAGTGATAAATCTAAAAATTTTAGACCCTCAAAAAAAAAACGATATATTTCAACAGGAAAACTCCCCCACACATTATATTTATAAGGCTGTACGTTCAAAAAGCAGGACAGTCGTTATTTAAGTGTCACTATCTCATAACAGATCGAACACAAGGTCAGCAACTAGGAAGAGGAAAATAACCAAATCTAGCGATTTGTGCAGTTTGTTGGGGGAAGGGCAATCCAAAGAGACTACAGAACATTCGACTCTTCGATGATGATACATTCTTCTTCGGGAGACGAATTCAGTCTTAGCCAATGATATGGCTTCAGCACAGAACAAGGTCCAACTTTTATATCTGAGAAAATATTTTAGCTCCCTAATTTACCAAGGAGTCATGGCATGTCGCCTATCCTCTCCTGTGTCATAATTGTTAAGATGAAGTCCAGCATATTTTCGAAATCAAACTCTTAAAAAAAAAAAATATCTGGGTTATAAAATTTAACAATAGTTGTCGTAGACTTAATATTCTTTTAAAGGAAGAGAAAAATATTCATAAATATATCATGGAACAAATATGGACGGTTGTTATAGATACCGGACGCATAGTCCTAATGTGGTTGACGGTATCTTGTACGAAAGGTATCAACTATTTTTCCCTCTGAAGGATTTTCAAATGAAAATCATGGCGAAGAAGGACCTCTGGATAAATTTACGTTTGATCCTTGCTTAGAGGAAAAGATACAAACAACGGAATGTATCCAGATATTTGTGACAGATATTCGAATATGTCTTTACCTTCCTTCTTTGAAAAAGAAGGGGGGGGGGGGGGGGGTGAAACATGAGGCACGAGCGGCCAATTCATTAGGTACCCTCCAGTTTGCTGCCTTGCCAGCCTCCTACCATAAAATAGGCGACAACCAACTTAACGTTGACCTCCAAGTCATTAAAAGTAATCAACTTAGCTGACCAGCTAATAATATAATAACTCAAATATGTAGATAATAATAAAATAGCTAATATCCTAGATTTTCATAGCTAATATGTAGTGTGTGTGTATATATATAAAAAGAAAAAAAAAACGTCTCCTATTTTTCTCTATTTTGGCTAAAGAAATTTCTCTATTTTGGCTAAAGCTATTCTAATGGAAATGTAAGTTTTATTCTAAATCTTAAGAACACGTAACTGTGTCTCATTTCAAAAGGAGGTCCTTATGATAACGGCTGTTAAATGCTAATTTGTTTATGTAAATCTTTGACTTTCATATGTTGGAATACTCACCATCTACATTTAGAGTTTATATTTACCCATTTCGGTCTATAAAAGCAGTGTTGTGTTTTGGCCAATACTTTATACATTTTGACAAAGTGACAGACTTTGTGCAAATTATATTATCGAAACAAAAAGTTAGTTTTTTCTTACAGCTTACAGTATATAATATATATTTTCTCCTCTACAATACACTTTCGAAAGAGATTATTATAATAACATTAATGTAAACTTTCGCAGACTTTGAATTTTTTCTTAAATATATCTGGATGGTTTCTCGTTGAAAGAGGTTTTTGTAAGATATGATGTGTCTAAGGTTTACTGCATTAAAATTTTACCATAAATGTTCCCTAACAGTTCTACTTTCTTATCTAGAAATTTCGGAAAGAATAGACATATCAATTAAATCATAAAGTAGAAATAGTTTTCTTGCAGTTTTACGTATATAAATAGATTATATAATTCTTGCCGTGAACTGCTATGAAAAATAATAAATCATATATTGGTTTCACGTTTAACCTTAGATATCAGAGACAGATGTCAGTTTGTTTTTAGTCAGTATATAATTATATATGCATATCATAGTTACTGAAAATTATCAACAAAAAAAAATACAAATAATAATAAAACTTCTGGTATAAAATTGACACAGATCAATATCTGTGTCTACTTTATATCAATGTCCACAATATCCATACCAATGTATGGATCGAAACCTAATATATATGATGACTCTGGTTTAATTCATCGACGTAATTAAAGCATTTTGGAAAATAAATTATTGAGAATCTTAATTTCTTACTAAAGGCTTAAAAAGTAAGGCCTTTTAAATATTAAGCAATGGGTTATAAACACCTTAAAAAATATATATATATCGGTTAAACCTCACTATAGTCGAGTTATCCACGCAGTTCTACATTGAGACAGGGATTTCTATCGACACGATGAGTTAACTGGTTTATAAAGTATAATTGAACAATTTTGGCAGAATCCTTTATGGAAGTGCCATCTTATGGGTTTCTGTCTCTGCTTAGTATGCATATATGTATAGGTTAAATTGTCACAATTTAATAAATCCATGTATTGATGGCCGTTAAATTGGTTTCATCTTGGTTGCATCCAATAAACATATTTATAATTTCAGCTATTTTTGTCTCAAAAAAAAAAAAAAAAAAATGCTTTCTGCACCACATTCATTAATTTGCAACCATCAGTTCTTTAAACATCTACGTATAGAAAAATCAAGATAATACATTCGGACTGGACGCGAATATAATTATACGATCAAACGAACTTACCTGAAGTGAAGTTCGATCGTAATTATATGAGGCGTCCAGTCCGAATGTATTATCTTCCCACCCCTCCCGTTTTGCCCCATGGTTGCTTGAATTAATGAATAAATCTTTGAAAAATGAATACCGACCGCCGCGCCAGGGCCGGCGCGGCCACATAGACTGGTAGCGGGAGGGAATTTAGCTTATAGCTTTAAAATTGTGCACGCAGGGACGGTACTACGTATAGAAAAATCAAGATAATACATTCGGACTGGACGCCTCATATAATTACGATCGAACTTCACTTCAGGTAAGTTCGTTTGATCGTATAATTGTCTTACTGTTTGATACTTAATGTCAAAGGAAGCTAGATAAAATCAAGAAAAATATAAGTTTTCAAACTTAATCTTAAATAACTTAAATACGATTTATTTTAGGTATAGGAACATGTATGGTTAAAAAGTAACGAATTGAAAAACCTTTTCACTAGTGAAATAAAAAATGTGTTTCCATTTGAAAAAAAATATTTATGATAATTTTTTAATCGCTCAATTCCATGACAGGTACCGTTATTATTATAGGACATTGGAACAATTTAATTTTTGATATAGATAGCTACATGTCTTGTCTTTATGTTACAGTAGCTGTGGTAATCACTAAATTTGACTTTTAGGCCATACACATTTTTTTTAACAGGTAGTTTTTTTCGTCCAAATATTTTAAATATTATTGTTCTCAAAAACGGTTAATGTTAGATATAGAGTGTTTAACATCAACATTCATAGAATTTTACAAAAAATTTAAGTATCAAAATAAAATTACACTAAATCACCACAATACACCAAAACACTTTTACTTTTACACTGGACGCGCGTTTCGCTAACCATGTTAGCATCATCAGCAGATGATTATAAACTCAGTTTACACTTACACTTTTTTATTTACACTTACACTTTTACATTTACACTTTTTCACTTGAGTTTATAATCATCTGCTGATGATGCTAACACGGTTAGCGAAACTCGCGTCCAGTGTAAAAGTAAAAGTGTTTTGGTGTATTGTGGTGATTTAGTATAATTTTATTTTGCTGTGTAACACCAAAGGTTCCAACCCTCAACTGTAATCTAAGAATTTAAGTATGTAAGAAAAAATGTGGGCACCCATTTAAAATAAGAAAGTTGCTGTCAACTTCCGGTATATGTATTTCCGGAAGTGCCGCCATATTGAAAATATTTTTAATCGATAGATCTCGTTGTGAAACAGTGATGTGCAAAAAATCTCCGATCTAGATATCGTAGTTCTCCAGAAACTTCTAATGCACACTCAGCCGGGACACCCTGTGTATATTTAAAATAATTTTATGGTTTGCAAGGTAGAAACCGAGATCGGTTTTAGTCTTGGACTTGCAGATAAGTTTTAGTCTTGCACTCAAGACCGCAAGACCAAGACCAGTCTCACTCTTGAAGTATTTGGAATCTGCAGGTTGAATTATGTTACTGCTCTTGTACTTTCTTAGAAAATTCTGTAGTATTTATATTTTAGGAAATAGCTTTGATAATCGTCTTCATAGGTCTAATGGCATCGTTATTATTTTACTGTGGTCTATTAGGATCCTTAGAAACAAATTATGAAATTATCGGTGAGGCGTATGACGAAAATAATTTGAACTCGAACAATCATGAAAAGCACTTCTTAAAGCAATCTATTATATATTTAGTTTCCCTTATGTAAGAAAATGTGGATACTTATTATTGAAATATTTATTACTATTAAACGACTTACAGGTACATGGCCTCCAGATTATTTACTACGTTAAATTTGATATACATTCCGTTATATCTAGATGAACGGGAAAATTCAGCCGAAGGAAAAAGCAAAATTAGAGAAACTATTGCCACCATACCTTTGGTTTGTTATATTTCTTCGCTTGCTACTTCGTTAGTACTAAAATGTCGCGGATCTTACTGTAATGATAAGGTAGGTATAATATTAAATTATTTACAATAAGTCCCATACGATTGAAAAAAATAAGTCAAAGATGGCTGCTAATTCCCATAGTGAGACGCCCCTGCCATTCTATCTTTTTTAATCTTTCTATAATTAGTGTTTAATATTTTGATAAGCTTTATGTCAATTTTTAGCAAATGACGTCAAAATTATTATCGATTGACGTTCCTCAGCTGTCTTTGACGGTGTTTTTTTTTGGATCATACGGAATTTTGTGATATTTTGTTTTAGGTTACTTACTTTGTAGGTGGATTTATTGGACTTGTAGCGTCAGTATGGTTAGGGTTAGAAATAGCGACGAATTCTGATATAGAACTTTATTTTATTGCTGTGATTTTGGGTAAGAAACAATCCTTAAGATATTTATTAGTAACACTCGCTATTTATACTTTTATAAAATTGGTATTTCCATTAAATATTATACGATTATAAAGTTAAAAAAAAAACAAAGAATATATAGAGATAGATAATATTTTATTTCAAACGAAAAATATATACTTTTTTTCTAGGAATAAGTAGTTCCTCTACCATGGTGGCCAGTCTTTGCCTCACAGCTAACTTTGTTAAAACGAATGGATATGGAGGAGGGTTGGTTTACAGCATTGTCACCTTTACCGATAAGTTAATATCGGGAGCAGTTGTTTTACTAGTACAACATTTGTATGTAAAACATACATTATATATAGTCTATCTGAATGTCTAACAACATACAACTTTTAGTTATTTTCATTTAAACTGATATATTGATTATAACTTCAGTTTATAATATTGCTCTGATTTTAAATTGACTCTTACTCTATTGAAAAATAAAGACCTAACACCCATAATGTTTAGCATTTAATAAATAATTCGTTTTAATATGACACCAACTAAGCTAACCCATAGGTACAAGTATATCTTTATATCGCTTATTTTGCTACTTCTTCGGTCTAGTGAAATGGACTAAGTCCCATACTTAGTTACTGTTCGCTGATTCGGTTCGTCAATGCGGCGATTCTGCGGAATTTCACTTTTTGGTCAAACTACAAAAGAATGTCTCGAACACGGACGAATTTTTAAACGAACCAACGAATCTCATCGACGAACCGAGTCAGCGAATAGTGAGTATGGGGCTTTAGACGTGTGTAATAAGTAATGTAAAATATTGTAATTGATAAATTGACAAACAAATTATAAAATAATATATAAATTATTTGACTAAAAAAACTGGTTGCATTCGGTGTGTTGTTAGATATTAAGATAGCTTTAACTACGTAACAAAACAATACAGGGCTGTATACATTGCGTTTTTACATAAAAATGTTCAGAAAAATAAAACACTGTACTTTGCCGCTATACACCAAAAAACTCTTCATAACTTTTAATAATTTAATTTAACAATCTATGTAGTTTTAACGAGTCGCGCATCTAGATTTAAAAGTAAAATCTTTATTAGTGATGGGAAAAACCGATTAATTTCAATAATCGAGTACTCGAGTATCAAGCGATTGCAATAACCGAGCGATCGCTCGAGCGAAATATAGCTCGTATTTAAAAATACGGTTTTTCGTCCGCCGCTTGTTATAAGTACTCGTTAACGCCAAGCGCCTAGCAGTAAATTGCGTGCGCAGGGTACAGATTCTTTCGGTGATGAATGGCAAGTAGCAAACGACGAGCGATTCGCTTGATCGCTTGATTTAGTTTATTTCAAAGCATTGTCGATGTAGGTCGTAAAATTTTGTCTCTCAGATACGCAACGGATAAATATACAGGGTGGTCCGAATTGTATTCCGGAAACTTCGACAGCATATTCTGCAGATAAAAATAAGCAAAAAAGTTCGTATAAATGTATGTCCCAAAATGCTTAGTTTCGGAGATACAGGGTGTAGAAGTTTCATTTTTATTTCGATTTTTTCCAAATAATTTGTGAAGTAACGTCAATATTTGGATGAAAATTGGTATCTGGGAGTATTGTGACACGAGAAATTTGATTTTGATGTCAAAATTACTCTTATTTGTAGGGAGCGCCACCTGCATGTGTTTTAACTGTTTTGAAGAGTAATAACTTTTCGACCGTACCTGTATAAAAACACTGACTAAAAAAATATACATTTTCATGACTTTTTATGTAAAAAATGTCTCTTGGTAAAAATCGCTACGGGCAACCGTTCTCAAGACATTTAGAATGGAAATAGTTAATACATGTCATTATTGACAAAAAATAAGCACACCTTGAGTGCAGTTATTGGACTGAAATAATAAATTTTTATTTTTTTAAATTAATCATAAGTTTTTCTGCGAAAAAATGATGATTAAACAATTTCTTTTGAACTTTTGACACAAAAAGATTTCAAATTTATGATTTCAGTCCAATTACTATTTAGTCAACATGTTTAATTTATGTCAATGATGACAGGTATTGATAATTTCGATTCCAAATATCTCGAGAACCATTACTCGTAGCGATTTTTACCAAGAGACCTTTTTTTATGTAAAAAAAGTCGCAAATGTATATTTTTTACTCAGTAGTTTTATACTGGTACCGACGAAAAGTTATTACTCTTTAAAACAGTTAAAACACATGTAGGTGGCGCCACCTACAAATGGGAGTCATATTGACATCAAAATCAAATTTCTCATGTCAAAAAACATCCATCCACCAATTTTCATCCAAATATTGACGTTTCTTTAGAGATTATTTGGAAAAAATCGAAATAAAAATGAAACTTCTACACCCTGTATCTCCGAAACTAAGCATTTTAGGACATACATTTATACGAACTTTTTTACTTATTTTTATCTGCAGAATATGCTGCCGAAGTTTCCGGAATATAATTCGGACCACCCTGTATATACGGCGTCGTATAAATTTGCAATGTATGTAGAAAATTCACTAGGCGTTTTATCGAGTATGTCACATTAAAGTCGGATTTCAATTTATTTCATTCTAGGATCGCTTGCTTTCGTCGCTTGGTACTCATCACTTGCATCGCTCGTTCATAATCGAGCGATGTCGGTTATTTCAATAATCGAGTACTCGAACGAAAATTCGCTCGAGTGATCCCATCACTAATCTTTATTAATTCGATCAACGGTAAAATGTGCGCGGTAAATTAGTGTTTTATTTTGCCGTTTTTTTAAAGGTTGCAGTCTTGACTGTATTATGTACATGATATTAGAAATATTACATTAATTACTATTGTAACCAGTTTTGCATTTTTACTTCTTCAGTAATTTGTTTAATCGACATTCGACACATTCATTTTACATGGATCCAAAAAACAATTAAAATATTGATTGAATTAATCGAACAATCAACGTAATCTAAATTGCTAAATTAACTTATATTTTGTTGAATACCGTATACAATAATTCAATATTGAATCTTAAAGAATTTCGGCCTTTATTTAATTTAACTTACACAACGTTTTGGTCAGATGTATCACTGATGTAGAATGTTTAGGAGGGGGGTTAATCACCGCGACCTTACAGATCTATTGTGTGTTCCCCTTTCTTCAGTTATAACGAGTCATCATACAGTCTCAGGGCTTTGACAAAAGTCAGCATCTGAGACGGTTCGACAGGGGCCAGCTCTCCATCTTAGACATCAGCCGTATCAAAGTTTTTGGCACGAGCAGTTGTCGTTTCGGCGCACTCAGTGATAAGGTGTTCTGGTGTTTTTCCATTTTTCCCACAGAATCTGCATTCGCCGTTGTTTCTCAGCTTCAATCTACGGAGGTGTTCGTTGAGGAGACAGTGTCCTGTTAGAAACCCCGTGAGAATCCAAAGATTGTTTTTATTTAAATCAATAAAAAACCTTTGATTTTTCTCGGTCGGAAGTTCTGAGGAACTTTTTCGAGTGCCTTAGACCGTTGGAGGATTCCCATTCGAGGTTACGGATGGTGTCTACCAGGCTTTTCAGTTCCGTTTTAAGTTCGTTTCGTGGAGTGTTCGCTTCTTTTCTGGCTAGATCGCTTGTTTTTTCATCGCCTTCTATCCCTTGGTGAGCGGGTACCCAGAGTAGGAGGACTTTATTTTCTTTGCCTAATTTGTTCAGCTTCTCTAGGCATTCTTTGACCAGTTTTAAATTGATGGTTACTGAGTTGATCGCTTTTAGTGCTGCTTGACTATCGGTTAAGATTGCTATTTCTTATTTTCGATAGTTCCTATCTAAGATACATTGTACGCATCTTTTGATAGCGTAGATTTCTGCCTGTAGGATGCTGTGGTAGGTACCGATTGCTGCGGAGTATTTAGTTTTCGACCCAAGTACTTCTATTCTTGTCCCTGCTTTGTTTTGGAAACATTAGTATATATATACCACGTTATGCTATGGTCTTTTACATGCTGAGCAAACGTTTCTCTCTTCCAGTCCTTTTTGTTGCTCAATACAGTGAGGTGTTTCTCTAAGTTATATATCACTGATAGTGATAAGCAAATGCTCTTGCAGTTAATAAGTACTCTTGATTTTGGTTTTGCAGGGTTCAGTCTTACTCTTGGTCTTGTTATCTTTATAATAGATCTTTAGTAGATGCGCTTTCCACATACAAAATCTTTAAATAAATAACATTTTTATTAATTTGATGCCAATAGAACTTTAAAGAAAGACATCATTAGAATATTTGTCTGACATTTTTTTATTTTCAATATATTATATCGAATCAGCATTTCATTCTTTAAAATTTTATGCAATATTCGGGAAAACACTATTTTAATAAATTAAAATAATAATTTTGAACAAATAATTAATCTCGTATATCACATAAACATGAAAAAAATGCAAGACCGCAAGATTCTTTCATGCTTGGTCGCGGTCTCGGTCTTAGTTTTGCAGATCAAACGCTAGTCTTGATCTTGATCTTAGCCTGGCTTTTACGCAAGACGACCAGCACCAAGACCACTCTCCCTCATCACTAATCACTGACCGGTATCAAGTATAAACTTGATGACGGTCAACAGTTTACATTTGATAACAATCATCTTTGAACGAAACGTTGTGTAAGTTAAAATATATAGACAATGGAAGTCAGAAATTCTTTTAGTATCTGACTTATCCTTCTTGAAGTATTCTCGTTATAGACTGTTAACAGTCGAAATTTACAATCACATTTTTCTGTATGAATGTCATAAATATATAAATATTATCTACTGCAATAGTTACTGTTTATTTCTAATATAGATAGCCAACTGTTGTATACGTTACGGCTAAAATGGATACTTGGCTAGTTTTAAAACTAGCCAGCTATTTTGCAAACTAACTAAAAGCGCTGTTATTTTGAAGGAATCCGCCCATTCTTGCAAAATACAGGCAGCCAACGGCTAGTTTATAAACTAGTTGGTTAGTTTGCAAACTATATATTCGTATTGGATAATGTCATAATTTTATATTTTTGTTTTCATATTAACCAGTTATTTTAGTTAGTTTTTATAATAATAATTTATAAGTTTGGCTAATAATATGGTAACTCCATTAGTATTTAGTCACCCAAAATAGCAAGATTCTTGGCTTATAAGCCTTGCAATATAAGAGTGAGATTATGCCTATATGTATATTCTTCGTGTTGAAGAGCTTACTTGTATTTCTGTGTTTGTACGCGTATTTATGTGATTTTGTCAACTTAAGGTGGATTCAAGTCGCAAAATAAAATAAAAATAAAAATAAAAAAGAAGAAATCATTAGTTCTGATATGGGAACATTCAAACAGCTAAATAAAATATTAAATATATGTACATTTGCAAATCAGTAATACGTTAAAATTGGATAAAAATTTAGTTTTCAGTTTGTAGTAGTTGTTTATAATAATTTTAGTATTTGCAATGTACTTATTTATTCAACGGCAATGTACTTGTCTATTCCATATTGAAATTATGCAATAAAATAAGTCCAAATTCTGATAGTATTTATAAGTTAAAAACTATAATTAAACCAGTTAAAATATGAACTAGCTGCGGTTGTCTGCTATTTTGCAAGAATAGGCGGATTCCTTCAAAATAACAGCACTTTTAGTTAGTTTGCAAAATAGCTGGCTAGTTTAAAACTAGCCAAGTATCGATTTTAGCCGTAACATAATTACTAAACCAAACTATTTGTGAGTTTATATATCATAGTATGTTTAACATTTGTACCATAAAAACGCAATGCTTTGTCCTTGTGTAATAATCTTACAATGGTCTTGATTTTTAGACAATGTGTCCCAAAAAACTTGTGTCCACACTATTATGAACATGTCTTGACATATATTTGTGGGATTGTTTCCGTTACAGGACTACTATCTTTGCTGTGTCTGGAAATAGAAATTCGAAAAAATGGACTAAAAAATCACCAACAGGATAGATAAACATACTCAAAGTATTAATATTCCTTCCACTGCCAATTTTTTCAGTTTATATATACAAGTGATTAGATAAGTTAATACTTATTAGTTTAGTAGGTAATTTTTATATACAAATCAATGTTAAATGACTTATATCCTGTTATATATCGTGAATGTTATTGACCGTTTTTTCTAAGATAACTTGAAGCGGTTTTATTCCATAATATAGTGATATATAAAAAAAACATAAAATTGATTTTATAAATTATTTGAAATTCGTTCAACATATAAAAAATAATAAATGTTCGTTTAACCTAAGCCTTTTTTTGGGATGTTTTGACTTTGAGATAACCCGCCTATTTAAACATATTTTTTTAAATTCAGACAAACTGAATTAAAGACATTCAGTTTTAAGGCACTCTGTAGGTTAGGTTTCTGGGGTCTTGGATCATGTTGGATCCCTCACTCGGAGGCCTTGGGCCCATTCCAATACCCCTGTATTGTTGTACCAAACCTTCCTCTCATTCTTTCTTTGCGTTAAAGCACTTCCAGTTCTTTGCAAAGTTCCCGATGTCGCTGATGTTGGCTTCTGCTGCTTCCAGTGGCGGATACAGGAATTTATTTTAGGAAGGGCTCAAAATAAAATTTAATGTAGAATGTGCTTCTTAGGGCGTCATTTTTAACCAAAAAGCCTAATATTTAACACAATTTACAGATTTCAGGGGGGGCTTGGGCCGAATGGGCTTCCCCTCTGTATCCGCCACTGGCTGCTTCCTCTAGTCCTTCCAAAAAACCTTGCCCTAAAGTTTGGTAAAGCGTCGGTATTCCAGTGCCGGACAGTGGCACAGCAGGTGCTCTATGGTTTCTTCTTCCTTTCCGCATTCTCTGCAGTAGTCGTCGTTGGAAATTTTCCATCTCACGAGGTTTACCTCCGTGGGGCAGTTTCCAGTGACGACACAAGTAGTTGTTTTGCCTTTTTGCTATCTACCACTGGCCATAGTCTTCGAGCTGTAGCGCAGTCCTCACGGTGTTGCCACGTCTCTTGCTGCTTGGCCTTGATGGCAGTTCCTATAGCTTCCTTCAGTGTGTTGATCGTCACAAATGGTGGGTCATCTGCCACGGCCTCTCCCCTGGCCCCCGCTTTCGCGAGTCTGTCTGCTTCTTGATTGCCCACCACATTTACTGTCCTCCATTCACACAGTTGTGCAGCTCTGAACTGTTCAAGAACGCGATACTCTCACTCCATTCAATTGAGTCATAAAATTCAGAACTGTTCCGCGCCATATGGAGGCACCAGGCTATCGCGCACAGCTCCTTTCAAAACCGTTCTGAGTAGCCCAAGGCGTAAAGCTCTGGAACTTGAAATTCGCGAATGGAGGACAGCAATAGGCTACTTGCACATACTTTAATTTTCACCTGAAAACTACTTAAAGACCTTTATAAATACAACACCTAGCACCACCATGATGTTATTTCCAAAAAGAATTGCAAATTATTTCATTTCGATTATAAACTTCACCCGGGACCTTTAAATTTGACGTCACACGAAAACGTTACACCATTGGTTGTGACGTCACGAGGTACGATTTCAGTAAGGCAGTTTATCACAAGCGAATAGTCTACAGTTCTACTGAAATATTCGGAAATTTCAGCAACAAAAAAGCAAAACTCACGCGTGCAACAAGTAAACTCAAAATCACGAAAAAAAGGTTCAAATAAAAAAAATAACCTGAACAGCCCAGTTTGGTCCGAGCAACTGAGTAGACAGCAGACTTTATTCGCTAAATAATTTTACTGCCATTTTATCAAAGTCTATAAAATTTATGTTGTTCATAGGTACTATTAGTAATAATACACAAATTTTAATATCTTTATTGCTTTCAAGTTAGCCATTTAGTTAGTCATATTGTTCGATATATAAAATCTGATTAATACATAATAAAACTTGCCTAAAACCATACTATTTATTTAAAAGTTATAGCCAGTAAAAAGTGGGACGAAATAAAATGATAACACTATACACTACATAAATATCTTGACAAAATATTAACATTTATTATTAATATAATTAAAAAAATTGTTTTTTTGTCAACTTATTAAGGGTCGTTGTGTATTCACTAAACCACAGGCAATAGTTGTTATAATATAGTCTAATTGAGAAATCAAGTTAATGTGGATGTAAGCGTAATGTTTTAACACTTCAAACTCTCTTAAACGCCTTATAACTCTTTCGATATAGATTCTTATGGAGACTTAGATTTTTGATATAGCTTCTACGATGCCTATCCTATAAAGGATTTCTTCTAGGATTTCTTGTTTTATGGGTAAACAAGATTTTGAAGTACTGGCTTCACACAAAACATCTTGAATAATACCTTGACTTGCCCTCTTTATAGCACCTATTCGTACAGTTTGGGGATAAGCCTGTTTTCTATCTTGGTGACAAGCAAACATTTTTTGCTTGTCACCAAGATAGAAATCAATCTGTCAAATTTGTCATTTGTTTTTGAACATACACCATTTTCCATTCCATATAAATGGCACATTATATTTTGCTCCAACTAGAAAAAAAGTACTTATTTATAAACTCCATAAAAATTAAAGTGAGGTTAGTTCAACACTTAACCTAGTGATGTGAATAATCTAATTTTTTGCACCATCGAATAATTAGTAATAATTCATATTTCACAATCGAATTAATAATTCGAATTATTTAGTAGTGTTATTAATTTAACCTTAAAATAAATTCGTTCCAGCTAGTGCTCGTCTAGGGGCTATTTTAAACAAATTCTGAACCATTGCCATACCTATATTCTATCACTGAATAAAAAATAAAAAAAAATATTCTTTATTCAATGTATTCTATTAACTGTGCCGAAGCCGTTTAATAAATTAAACCATAATTTAAAGTTTTAAATTTAAAAGTGCCGAGTTTATGATTGTTTCAGTTCCTATTGAAAAAAGCTCATATCTAAAATAAAAGCTTCTTCTAAAACGATATAAGTATGTCCTTGTTTACGTGCGGTTCGTATTTCTTTTTATTTTATCAGTTGCAATCAATAATTATTTAGATAAAAGAAGAAAATTAATTTCAGTGTTCGGCAGGTGTTCGGTGAAATTTGGGTGAGATGGAAATGAACCAAATAATAGTAGTATTCTTTCGTTCTGAACGAAATGAAAATTTTCACTTAAACTGATTTATTCCTACGTGGTATAGGAAATAACAATGATTTCTGGATTTTTCTATATCAGATCGTTCCTTTCTTTGTCGATTCCCTTTATAAATCACTTTAAGTGAAAATTTTCAGTTCGTTCAGAACGAAAGAATACTACTAATAGTAATAGTACTATACTAATTACTAATATAATATTCGTATTCGTCCATAAGAGGTTATGTTTTATATTCATTTGTAATTCGGTTACCACAGATATAATATAAAATACTACTAATTTTTATCTCGATTATATCGAAAAATATAATTCGAATTAGTTAGTTTTAATTTACTATCGAATTAGTCGTATTATTTAATTCGAATTTTCCCAACACTAACTTAACCTTAGGAAACTATCGTTTTATATTTGTATTTCTCAACTAAATCAAAAATAAATTTGTAATTTAACTAATTTGTATTTCACTTACTTAGTGCTTTTCAAGTTCAACTTAAGGCTGGCGTCTTATTTTCTAGAGCCATATTTTTCGCTGTTTCTCTTCGATAGGCTAATGTTAAATGTTTTTCCAGGAGTGGAAAGTGTCGTATTTTTGCAACCTGGTACCATACAGTATCGATAAATCATTTTGCATTCGAAAATTAGTAAAAAACCTCGTCGAAAGTCGTAACTGAAGAGAATGTCAAAACAAAATAGTACCTCGTGACGTCACTATCGTAAGCGAGGTCAAAGCCGACGTTTTAGCGGGCTTCTCATCAATTTGAATCTTAACCATTTATTACGGCATTAATACACCAGATATTTAAAAAATATTTTGCAGAGATGCTTTTTGGGTCTAAATGATCATTTTAAGCCTATAAAAATACCCGCAAGGGGCCTATTGCTGTGGCCTGACACCCAGCACGGAGTAGCCCCGCCTTGACGCAGCCAGGACAGTGCTTCTCGGCATTCCATCTGACACTCTGACTCTGTATCATGACTCTGTATAAAATAAAATTATTGATTTTTTAAAATATTATTCGCATACTAGGGAGAGGAATATCAGACGACGAACAGAGATGATATAGGTGTTAGGTAATAGCTTTTAGACTACCATTCGAGACGCATTGATGTTACTTTGGTTTGTAAGTCTTGATTATTGTGACAAAGGATGTTATCCAAGGTAGAATTAATGTTTCCTCATTATTTAACTAATGTTAACTAAATCATATTATTTTGTTTTCCTGTTGTAATATTCTGTTCTAAAGCTTTTCTTTATTTATTTGATATGACAAAGATAATATATAACATGTGTATGTATTTAATGGATTCGATTTATGCTGTGAATAATTTCAGTTTAAAGGTAATCTAAGTAAAATCGTTTATTGTTTTTGGTTCAGTGTGACAATAAGGGCCTTGTTGAATGTTTTAACATTTTTCGACCGTGACTGGGCGAATATCTGAGCTCACAAAAGAGCAAACAAAAACAATAAAGAGAATAACTCATAGAATAACTCATAATCTAGAGATATTTGCAACTTTAGCTTCGAGACTCGCAACAAGAGACTTAGTTCCTGCTTGGTGGAGACCTGTTAAACTAACAAAAACCTCTTCCGTTTTGAATATAATGAATGTGACATGTTTTGAATGTATGAAACTAAAAACCTTGGTATGAGGATTTTTTGGATAAAAACCTTGGTATGAGGACAGTTTTTGTATTATTATTATTTCTCTTTTATTAAAGTTCAGAATAGCATAGTTGTTCTAGTAGCAAGTTTTCTATGCTGCGACTTTTTAGTTGTGAATACCAGGCCGAGTACGGCACTTCTTTCATTTCATTTAATAAAATAAGTAGGGAATAAGCTGGGAATAACCAAGAAAGACCGTAAAAATAGAGAGGATACGACAAAAGACCCAGGTAATAGATGTTATCCACAGAATCAAATCCCTCAAGTAACAGGAAGGACGAACAACAGATGGACCACAAAAATTACAGCATGGTACCCACGAGGAATTAAGAGATCTAGAGGAAGACTAAACCTGAGACAATAGACAACAAGAGGCCAAACTACAAAGAGAGTATCTAAATATGGCGGGAGGCTACTCTATAATTGGAAATGGTTGAACAAGCTGGGAATGGTGATGACATAAATATGACTTTTTTTCTTTATATCTTGTGGCTTGTGGTATATATGAGCGAACGAACATCGTGTTTTAGCTTTTTCTATGAGCTATGTTAATCGTTCAAAAGCATAGACTATGGTTATACATTACATACATACATATAAGAATCAGTTGCAATTAGATAAAATAAAAACGCTTACAAATTAACGTTAATAGAAAAGTTAAGACGTTTTGCAATTTGCGAAAATTATGTTTTATACAAAATGAAAACACCGTTTATTTACTTAAAATATTTCATCATTCATATCTCCTGACTAATCCTCTTCAAATAAATCGAATGCTTAAATGTCAAAACTTTTTATTGTATATTAAAAATTCTAGAAATGTTGTGCAACTATTACATTGGAAGGGCGGGGGGGAGAGGGTTAGGTAGAAACCAGTTAGGTCCTAAATTAAAATGTGATATACAAACAGAATTTCTTAGTGCACATGTGTTTAACAGTCCTGCTTAATAGAGGTGGGTAAAGATTGAACGATTCCTTCATTTGAACGTGTATAAAAAATCAATCGTGAGAGTCAATTCACCTCTCTAAATGCAGTTCGTTCAATTTTTATATGTTTTTTAGCGATTTCTATAGAACAGATTTGTTTTTTTTATGTCTTCATTCTACCTTCACCACATACATACATAAGAACATACCAAGCAAAAACTACTGTTATCAAAATGACTAACCATTGTCTTTAAATATCAAAATGTCAAATAACATTTTCAATTATACAGGGTGTTTCAAAAACATGTGCCACCTCTCGTGGGGAGATTCTTCACGAGATTCTTCATATCAACATAGGTCCGATTCTACTTTGCTTCGTTGCTACAGGGTGTTAAATTCTGAGTAATCTTTTGATTTATTATAATTTTCTTTCAAGTACATTTAGGGATTCAAATGAAATTTTGAGGGTAAAAGTTACTAACATATTTTAATGCTAAAAAAAGTGTCGATAAATTCACCAGGGACGTGCATATGGGTTATCACTGGAATATTTTTCAAGAAACACCTGTGCACCACTGACTTTTTTCTTTTGATATCAAAGTTGTGTAGGCCGTTTAATGCCAATTAAAAGTTATCACTTGAAGTTTTGTCGAATTCGGCCTCCTTGGTGAGATAAACGCAATTTTATTAATGACAATTAATAAAATTAATAAATTATATACTATTTTACCTAATTTATTATTAAATATTATTACTATTAGCTATTATGACTATTTTTCCAAACTAGAGCAATTTCAAATAAAAAAATTATGATATTTAAGATAATTACAAAAAACCTAATTTTAAAAAATTTTAGCATCCTGTAACTCTAAAACTATGCATTTTCATACCCATGTTTATAGGAACTTTTTGTCACATTTTTTGATGAGGAATCAATGAGTCCTTATTTAAAACTTCCGCAAGTTAATAATATTATTTTTTTTAAAGGTTGCTGTTAGACTTGAATCAAGGCAAATTAAAAAAATTCCGTTTATCTCATCAAGGAGGTCGAACTTCACAAAATATCAAGAGACTACATTTAATCGGAATTAAACTGCTTACACTATTACTCTAACAAGAGAAAAAAGTCAGTGGCGTGCATGCTTTTTTTAGAAAAATATTCCAGTTATAACCCATATATGCACCTCCCTGGTGAATATGTCAACACTCTTTTAGCTTTAAAATATGTCACATTTACAGTAACTTTACCCTCAAAATTTCATTCGAAACGCTAAAAGTACTTGGAAGAAAATTATAATAAATCGAAAAAATATTAAGACTTTAACACCCTGTAGCTACGAAACAAAGCAGAATCGGGCCTATGTTGATATGAAGAATAAATCTTATTTTTATGTGAGGAATCTCCCCACGAGAGATGGCACATGTTTTTTGAAACACCCTGTATATTTAGTAAACTTTTCATATCAACCATCAATGAAAGCATAAAATACCGTTATATTTATCTTTTGAAACTCTTGAAACTGAATAGTGTCAAGAGTTTCACTCTCATCGCTAAGTAATATTACTTAGAGTACTATTTTTACTATTAAAGAAATTTTTTCATTGAATCGCATTCTTCAAGTATTTATGATATTAAGTACGTTTATCTTGGAAAACGGGAACCCCTGTATTTTTTTATTTATATTATTTATTAATTTATATTTAGATAACAATATTTTTCTAACTAATAAAACCAAAAGTGTTATAGATTACTGTTACGGTTGTAGTGTGAACGTTAAACTATGGCGACGATGAACACCTTAACTTTTAAAATATTTATTGTATTTTTATGTTTGTTTGAATTTAGTGCCGGTAACAAAAAATGCGATGTAGAACAAAAGCTTCTATGTCGGAAGCAAACTGATTGTTCCAGCTGTATTAGAGCCCATGCTTGTTGTAACTGGTGTTATCACCCAACGGTAAATATAAATTATGTATTAATATTTATATAATTTATTTATCTTATTGGAAAACTTAATGCATCTCCCTTTATGAAAATGCACTATTATTGTATAGTTTAAGAAATAGTTATTTGTATAACTAGTGCTAAAAAGGACAATTTGTAGCACGACACATGAGTTTTGCAGCTCGAACCGAAGTCGGGAGTTGCAATCATGCTGAGTGCAACAAATATGCTTTTTGTACATGTTGCACACAACGTTTTCTACGGTCTACGATCGAATTGAACCTATACATCCTTAATGTTGTAATCCTGTTTCTTTGCTGTTATCGACTGTCCTTCCTTAGCCACACTTAACTTATGCTCAATTTCCTTAAAACATTCTAAAAACTTGAGTAAATTCCCTCTAACTAAATGATTTGTTCCTCCACTATCAATAACAAAACTTATCTGGTTTTGGTTCACTACAGATGATGCAGATTCAGTAGTCATAAATGAGATATGCTCGTCTTCTCTCTCTTTTGATATTTCTTGAGCACTATGAGCATTATTCCTAACCTAACCACTAACAATAACACAAATATTACTTTTTTTAATTTTTTTTGCGTTCATCTTAATTTAAATGTCGCAGTTTGAACAATTCACTAAAGTAATTGAAATAAGATTATAAATTTCCATCTTGATGGAAAGAAAATACTGCCGTCACAGGAAGTCCAATATCTGGGAATAGCCTTGGACTGGACAGTAAATTTCTCTGGAACAGGCATATTAAAAACAGTACCAGCAAAGCTACAAAGGCTCTCATGATATCCAGAAGACTGGTATCAAATAGATGGGGCTGCGCCCCTAACATTTTGCGCTGGATACATTTTGATAACCGTAATATTAAGACCCATGATTACTTACGGAGCAGTTGCTTGGTACATAAAACTAGAACAACATACAGCAAGGCAAAACCTGTGCAACGTACAGAGATTGGTATGCATCTGCATCACAGGTGCTATGAGAACATGCCCAATAGCAGCAATGGAGGTCATCCTATAGACTTAACACCACTGCATATTGTCGTCGGTAGTAATGCCAATGCGAAAATGATTATAATGGTCATTGATGGATTTAGTACTGGAAGAATTTCCAGGTCAGGGGCTTGGAACACCCTCAATAAGAAAATTCCTCTCCGCCAACTCCCAGTGGATGACATATCAAGAATTTACAACTTTGAGAAACACCTTACTGCAGTATATAAATGTCCTATTCTGCGGGTGCCCGTTCACCAAGCGATAGAAGGCAAGGAAAAAGTTTACCGATCTAGGTAGAAAAAGAGCAAATACTTCACTAACTGGACCAGAACCATTCTGCTTTCCAAGCGGAAACCAACTTAGAGCGGAACTGAAGAACTTGAAAGAATCCATCCGTAACCTGGAATGGGTGTCCTCCAACGGTCTAATACACTCGAATAAGTTCCTGAGAACTTACAACCGAGAAAAATAAAAAAAAATCCTTGATTTAAGTAAAAACAATCTTTGGTTTGTCACGTGGTTTCTAACAGGGCACTGTCTCCTTAACGAACATTTCAGTAGATTGAAGCTGAGAAACAACGGCGAATGCAGATCCTGTGGGGAAACTGGGAAAACGCCAGAACACTTTATCACTGAGTGTGTCGAGACGACGCGACCGCGACGTGCCGGTCGCACATTTACAATGCCTCCTATGTGACACCGATTCACTCAAAGACAATCCACTCCAAAAGCAGGACAAAAAATGTACCGAAGTGCGCCGCGGAAAACCTTGCTAAACGTATTTATTTATTAACGAACACTTTTCTTGTGTAGGTATGAACTTAACCTAGTAGATACTGTAATTTAGACTGTAGTTAATACCGTACCGAAAAGAAAAGAAAATAAACAAAAACGAACCAACAAACCAAAACATACCTATCCAAAGCAATCAAAACACGCTGTAAGCTAAAACGCGTCTGTTTACGAATTCCAATTGCCGACTACTTTTCAAATATAGCTAGATTTTACAATATTTTTCAGTAAATGAAAATGGTGGTACACTTCCGCTTTTCTGCGTGTCTACGTTTAGAAAAATTTCTAGAATGAAAAACAGAAACGTATTTTCATATACTCTTTTTGCACTGTACGAATATGTATCCAGCTTTAAGGCACGCGTGATCGCCTTGCCCGATGAGGGATTGGAGTGCATTTTGCTGCAGTGCAATCGTTGTCATATAGGAGGCATTGTAAATGTACAAACCGTCTTCAAACCGTTCGTGTCATAAACTTTGGTTTGATGTTTGTTGTTTGAACAGCTAATGTCAAAGTTGGAGAGCTGGCCTCTGTGGAGCCGTCTGAGACAGGGCCGTATCTAGACCAAGATTTCGGGGGGGGTTTGACTTGGAGGGGGGGGGGGTACAAAAGCTGCTAGGAAAAAAGCATAATAAAAAAATCGCTTTGGGTTACACTCAAATCTTAATTGAAAATAAAATTTTAAAAAAGTAACAGATAAAAATTATTAATCTTAAAGGATATAAACTGGTCTTTTCCCTGGAAAAACGATTGACCACCTCTTCGATATCGATATTTATTTCTCTATGTACGCTTAATAGAGGAAGTCCTGTCAATCGCTCCTGACCTGTAGAGTTACGTAGGAAGTCCTTAATCGTCTTATGCCGCAACCGCACATGCGGCATTTAGCGAACTCCCAGCGCTCGTCAACTACCGAACGCTCGTGATCGGACTTCGCCTTTCCATCCACACATGCGGGCTCTGATAGCAACAACATAGAGATGAGCGCTCGTTCTCGTCGCCGATCGGGTCGCCGAACTCCGACTTCTTCATCCACACACATAGGAAATCGGCGAAGCCCCGATCGGAGATCGCCGAATACCGCATGTGCGGTTGCGGCATTAGGGTTAAAAAGACCTTTCTGGTGTAGCTGTTGACGCTGGTAGAGTTGCTACGATCATTAATAAAATGTATATATTTGGAAATATACACTGGTTACAATCCGATTATCGTTTCGATGGCGTTTTTAGGTCGGTCGACTGCAGGTAGCTGCTTCCATTTTTACCGCCACAAGTCTAGTTCTGCCGCTAAAGTGTCATAGTCCAAGATTTCTTTGTCTAATAGCAGAACAATAACAAACGTTAATCACGTTAATGACCAGCAAAACACACAACATTCAAAATCTTGTCCTTGTCAAACTTTTGCTGTTTTAAACACTTGAATGTTGAAAGTCGAAAATTGAAAATGACATTTGCTTTCAAAATGGAAAAGTGAGGTTAGGATGTATAATGTATATTCATCAATGATTAAAGAATACAAGGACAAATAGCACCCGAAACCAAACTGTGACCATTCTTCCAAACAGTGTCGTAGCACATATTTTACTTAACATTGCCGCTTGAAGGGATATTTATATTTTTGATATTATATGTTTTCACCATGGTACAAAGAAAACAAGGTATGATCGATAGCGGCTCCAATTTCGTTAAGTTTGCGCATACCACCTGTGACGTCATACGCCATACAAAAAAATATCCATATTGTTCAATTGTCACTAATAAAAAAAGACATAAAATAGGGAAGAATTAGGACATAACCCCAAAAGTTATGTTTTGACATCGAGCTTGACATTTGAAAAATTATTTTCACATTTTGACACAATCAAATTTCACAGATGACACAATCTCTTTGACAATTTGAAATTGGCGCGCAGAGCTTGCCGACCAATGGTGCCGTTTATCACCTGTGACGTAGTAACCAACCCGCGCAATATCATACCATGTATTCTTTGTATCATGTGTTTTCACTACGCCTATGGAGTATCGGGTGGTATCATACTAATTAATTACGAAAAAAACGTATTAAAATGTTAACAAAAGGTACATAACTAGTATCGACGTATAGTACATATCAAGTACATATAATATCAGAAAAATAATTATCGAATTCAATAAAATAAAACGCTAAAAAGGTGTAGGGGACTGTTCATTTCCCTATAAAACGTAACTTCTGGCTCTTTCTTATCATTGCGCCTTTTACACTTGACAGCTGAACAAATTACCATTGTAATATTGTAATAAAGTTTATACAAAGTTCACTACACACAAACAACTATTAAAAATCGCTAAAATTGCCGCTGATGACCAGCTGATGATTCATTCGTTATGTCTAAAAAGTTAGCGTCTAAGGTCACAAATTCTGCTGCAGCACGTATATGGGCGTTACATGTCCTTGTATTCTTTAGTCATAGATATTCATCCATCTTGTTCTTTTTTTGTTTCGTTCTTACTTACTCAATGATCATTACTTTTTAAAAATTTTAGGCCATAATTTCGGGGGGGGGTTTGAACCCCCAAAACACCCCCCCCAGATACGGCCCTGGTCTGAGATACAGTCTTTGGTTAAAGCTTTGAGACTGTATCTTGAGTCATAACTCGTTATAACTCAAGAAAGGGGAACACAGAGTAGATCTGTAAGGTCGCAGTGATTAACCCCTGTCATAAAGATTAGTTTGTACGGATCGGCCAGCGCGATCTTAGCCCGATGCTAGGCGGAAGTGGAGAGTGCCAGCCGTATGTTACCTGTCTCGGATCGAAAGGGCCGAGAGGAACTAGAGGAACTAATTAAAAGACTAGTTCACGGGAATCTATTCAGTTGGCAGATCCGAGATATAATATAATACAAGGCGACGACGATGGATTCGACCTTGTCTATTGCCATATCCAGCGTAACTACCACAGAAAATTGTTGTGGATACTGTTTTTGATTTTTAATTTGTTCTTTGAATATTTTATGGGAATGTTTCACTTTAGGTCCCTAAAATTACGAAATCTCTTATAAAACGAAGTAGATATTCTAAATTTTTAAACAAAAACAAAAAGCTTGAAGTGAGAAAAAATGCAATTTTTCGTAAAATTTTCGTATAATAGATTTGTGATATAGTTTTTTAAACTCTGATTACTACGCAGTTACACGTCTCGTTATATTTCCCGGACATTATAAAAATTATACATATCATACTGTGAATAGTTCTGAGTGAAAACGAAATCCATTAGCCAGCAACGGTGATGTCGATGTTAGTCGGGAACAATTGTGATCTAAAGACCTAGTTCAAGGAACTATTCCTCTGGAGGAACTAGAACTAAGGAACTAGTTCCTCCCAAGGAACTAGAATTCTCACCTCTACTTTATGGCGACTAACCAAAATATGCTTGCATTAAGGCTGGTTTACATTGGTATTAATAGTAGTAGAGTACGGTGGTAGAGTGCGTACTATCCCACTACTAGAATAATGTAAACGGTTTCTGCTAGTTACATTATAGTACTATAGATAGTCCAAGGGCGAGTAGAGTGGATAGCACGTGTGGAATAGTACACTCTACTAGCCTACTCCCACTATCACCATCTTACTCTACTCTACCGGTTTGCTAGTTTACTATACCAGTGTAAACAGGCACTAGACTAGCTTTAGTAAGGTGAGTGTTTGGATGTTTCTTGTGCTTGCCGATCTTTTTTTACTTCTTAATTAAAACCGTAAATTTTGCTTACGTATGAAAGAAAATGAAGTGGACGGAATCTGAAACTACGAAATTAGTGGCAGTAACACAAGGATTACGAGTGTATATGGAATATCAGCCGCCCTAATTATAGAAATAGATCAATGAGATCAGCGACCTACGAAGAAATTGTAAAATCAAAGGAAAATTTTGGTTAGGTTAGGTGAATTAAAACAAAAAATTAAAAATTTGAGGTGTACTTATAATCAAGAAGTTAACAAAATAAAAAAGTCAAAAAATCAGGTTCTGGTTTAAATGATGTCTATGTTCCAAATATTAAAAGGTTTCCTTTAATGGATTCTTTCATAAAAAATGTAAAAGGATCTGATAAAGGAATCTCCATTGCCTAACCTGCTTGTTCATTGTCACACACTTTAAACTGAACTATCTTTTCAAATTACTGGATACGTGTATACAGTTACTCTACCAAAGTGGGCAAAGTAGAGTGTTTTAGAAAAAAAGTATGCTAGTGAACTCTACTACTATTAATACCAATGTAAACCAGCCTTTAGTAACAATATTTGGATTAACAAAATCAAGGTACAAATTTTTTATCTTTGGTTAAACTCGTCATTAATAATATAATGTCAAGGTGTCTTTTCCACTATTGTAAAAAATTAATTATTTTTTACACTAGTGTATAAAAATTGACATTTTACAGTAGATTGTGTAAAAAATAGCTACTTTTTGCACGATCGTAGAAAAACCTTATTTATGCAAGCTAATTTTATTCATAATCGCTTTTTCACTGGTAATAAGAATAATAAAATTTGTTTTAGTTTGAAGGTGTCAAGTGTGATTTAGTCGACAGTTTGCCAGAATGCAATGGATTTATCGAGTATAATAAAAACGAAACTCAAACGCAGAATATTAATGCAGAAAACTCTAGTAGTGATAACGGTGCACAGATTACACCACGAAATATTAAAGTTCTTTTAAGGAACGGTAAGCTTGCAGATACACGTTTTAAAATTGTATTATCAGTAGTAATATACCGTATGATCGAAAAAAAATGGCGTCCGGTTGGCTTGGAAATGACTATCGATGACATTTCCCATATAATCTATACTAATATATAAAATCCTTAAGTGACTGACATACTGATTAATCACGATCCTGCTCAAACCACTCAACGTTAAGAAGCTCAATTTTGGCATACAGATTCTAGGGTGTAGAGGTTCGATAAGAAGGGATTTTTCGAAATGCCAGTTTCAAGAGGGTGAACGAAGAAGATTTAAAAAACGGCCAAGTTTCCGAAAAAACGCTCAAACACGTATATTTTATTTTGTTCTTTTACATATTTTAAGATTTTTTAAAAGTATATTACAGGGTATTTCGAAAAATCTGGTCATTGATTAATCACCATCCTGCTTAAAGCGCTTGACGTAAAAAGTTGATTTTTGGAAAACAGATTGACTTTAGGGTGTAGAGGTTCGATAAGAAGAGATTTTTCGAAACTCGAATTCTAAGGGGGTGAAACTATCCCTCAAATATTAAATATTTTTTATTTAAAAACCGGTGAGTTTTTCGGAAAAACTCTTAAACACGTATATTTTATTTTGTTGTTTTACATATTTTAAGATTTTTTATAAATTTATACAGGGTGTTTCATAAAATATGACCATTGAGTAATCACGATTCTGCTTAAACTGCTTGACGTTTAATGCTGATTTTTGGCAAACGGATTGAGTGTGGGGTGCAGAGAGTTCGATAAGGAGGGGTTTCTCGAATCTCAAATTCCAAGAGGATGAAAACGCCCCTCAAATATTACAATATTTGTTATTTAAAAAACGGTTAGTCTTTCGGGAAAACGCTTGGACAAGCATAATTTATTTGTTTTTTTTACATATTTTGAAATTTTTTAGAAAATCATACAGTGTGTTCCAAAAAGTTGGGTAATTTCTTAACCACGATTCTGCTTAACCTGCTTGACGTAAAAAGCTTATTTTAGGCAAACGGATTTTTCGAAAGTCAAATTCCAATGAGAACCCCTCAAATATTACCAAGTTATATAATAATATCGCCATATTGTTTTTTCTCATGCTGACATAAATGTGAGAAAATTTTATCCAGTTTGTATGTTAATGGAAATTCTTACTTTGTTTTATCATCACCATTACAAATGATTAATTCGACGCGAACGAAGTCGCTGGTACATGCTAGTTTTACATATAAAATGACAGCGATCTTCATTTCATAGCCATCGCTGACGCCGTTTTTATTCGATCATAAGGTACTAAGTGCAATGAAAATTATCAATCACTTTTAGAATATAGACAAATGCAAGTTATAATGAAAAAAACACATTTTTCGGTAAACTTGCAGGATACAAGATTTGTATACAATTTTAGAGAATTTTCATTGTAGGATCTCTATTTTATGAAACGATTTCCTGATCCACTGTATATTTCTCTCGTATAAAAATAAATAGATTTTGTTACTGGTTATCAAAAAATGTATATATTGCATGATTTATTTTGCTAATTTATTTTATATGAGCTTATAGGTATATTTAAACTATCTTTTAATAAAAAGTTTAGCTTATATTCTCTAAAATCGTGTGAGTAGTAGGTATTTTTTGACGACCATGGAACAGAATACTTTGTGGAGAGGAACTATATATTTTATGCATAAATATTTTTGCCACGATTGTATGTTAAATACCCTTTACATTTCGCGAAGCATTTCTCGATAAACTTTCAGAAATAAACTCAATGCTTTTCTTGTATTGCGGGAAATTTTGGCTTGTCTCGACCTCAAACTCCGAAACAGATCAAAATAGCTTGAAACAAGCCATGGTTGGTTGTTCGTTTTCTTATTTTTATTGGAATTGTCTCGGGAAATGTTTCAAGAAACGTTTCGACTATCGACTAGTTTCGATAAAAGTGTTGTAACGCGCGTCTATATTCATCGTACCACTGTATCTTCGCTGTATAGATCTCATTAAAGGTGCGATTTCCTAGCGACGCGACGTCTGGCGCCGCACACTGGTGCGTTTTTATGAACGTACGTGGCTAAAACCTTTAACAATGAAAAGTAATGTATCACTTAATCGGCAAATAAACCAGTGGCGGCGGGCCACTAGAAAATCGCACCTTTAATGAGATCTATACAGCCAGTGGCGGATACAAACCCTAGCCCATGTAGCCGTGCCCCCCCCCCCCCCATAAAATCTGTAAATTGGGTTGAATATAATGCTTTTGGATTAAAAATGGCACTCTAAAAAGCATATCGTACAAAACTATTTATTCGCTAGGAAGTCACATCTTAAGCTGGTCAGCTATTATTTCATAAAACATAAAAAATAAAATATAGACATATGTATTATAGAAATGTCTAAGCATTAATTTCAAATTTAAGATATTTTAATCTAACTAGGCTTTAATAGAATACAATTAACCAAATTTAAATATTTTAGAACGGGCGGTAAATATAAGTTTTATATATCAAGCAGCAAGAAACTACCCTTTGGAACTATACTATTTGGCAGATTTAAGTTATTCTATGAGAGACCATATAGAGACTTTTAGGAGTTTAGGACATGAATTTAGTAAGTTAAATTAATTAAAGTATTGACAGCAAACTTCATTTTCAAGCCAAATCTGAAGTTTTTAAGCGATCCAATTTTTTCTTGTTGTTTACATCTTGTTTATATCATTAAAAGGAAGGTCTGCTACTACCTTCCTCTTAATGTTATAATAGTCAGTATAGTAATAGACAGTAAGTTCATTGTAAGATTCAACAGGAAGTTTTTATCAACAACTAGCTTTTTCCCGCGACTACGTTCGCGTTACACCTTGAATCGTTCATGCATTGATTTAAATGATTGTTTAACTCTATATAGATAGAGCTAGTGAGCCTTACAAATGCACTATTTAATCTATGTTTTAAGAGTTTTAGAGCTACTCGTGTTTCATATAAAAGTTAGCAATTGTCGATTTTCTGGAAGTCTTGAATAAGTGGAAATATTTTCAGGGCTGGTAGATCTCGATAAAAGAAACATATTTTCTCTTTACCGTTTTTCAAATAATTCCATAATAATCGAGTTATTTTACTTTAAAAATTAAAAAAAATATATTTTTTGCTTAAGTTTTGAAACCCATCAGGTTTTTGTGTCTGGTAAATTTATTCTACTACCTATGTTGCCCTATTATTAAGAAATTATGGTTTTTAACTAAAAACTAAAAAAAAGTTTTTCAAAAAATTTCAAATTTTCCATAAAAAATTTCGCTAAAAAACTCATAATCGTGTTTCTGGTGTCAAAATATACTACTGCTAAAAATAATTGCTCTTATTTAAGACTCGCCCTGTATATCCTTCAAAAAATCGATTTTGTTATTTTTGACTAAAATCAAAGTCGAAATTTTGCAAAATCTGAAAAAAGAAAATCTCTCGAAAAACATAAATAGTGAAATGATTATGTACCCTCTCTAGATAGAACCACATAGAACCCTACCTCTACGTCCCATATAAACTGTATTACTAAAATAAATATGTAGCTCTGACATATAAAGTTTTCAATTGAATATTTGAAGTTTTCAATTGTCGCTTTTCTTGATATGCTCCCCTGATTTTTTTTTATTTTTCAAGAGCACTAATACACTCTTTATACGTTATTTTTTATTCCTAGAAGGATAATTTGAAGAAGAAATATTTTGTTCATATTATTGATGTCAATAAATATACCCTTGTATAAAATTTTATACTTCTAGATGGTATAGTAATACCTACATTTGCGTACAGCAAACTTTCATTTCCTATCCTAATACCTAAGGCTATGAATTTCATAAATTCGCTTTGTCCAAATAATTAACTCATGTCTTTTAAATTATCCTTTGTGCAAATTTTTATGTGTATAATCCAGAGGTCACGAATAGTAGTAGGTTTGACCCATTTGGTTGATGAATTTCAAAAATCTCTTCTAATTCTGTAGAATTTCATTCTTCTAGACCAGATAGTATGGAATTTTCATTAAACAGATTTTTCGACATAATTTTACACTCCAAGAGGATGAATTTCCTAAAATCGCTTTACGTAGCTAATTCACTAATCACTAATGTAATTTAAACGAACCTTTGTGCTAATATTTATATATCTAAAGCTGGCGGTATGAACTGACCCCTAAAATATCTAAAAACCTGATATATAATCTAACTGTCACACCACTGACAATGACATAATTTATTTCTGGAGGTATTGTGTGTAGGTATTTTTCAGGTATGTTTTAATATTTAGTCGTTTAACACAAAGAAATAGCCATTAAACAATATAAAAATACTTCATAACAAATCTAGACATACATACCTTACATTTAAAAAAAGAATCAAGAATGGCGAAGCGGTTACAGCGGGATGGATGTAACAAAAAAACTCTTTGAGCTTTTATATATGTATGGATATGGATTTTAATTTAATTTTTAACTCCAATATACCAACATTTGATGATAAATATTACAAGCACATTCTTGACAACGAAAATATAAAAAATACTATCAGATAGCCCTAATAAAGTGGCTATGAGAATGTGCAATTAGTTATTTGATTTTCTAAAAAGTAACGACGTATCTATAGTAAGAAAAAATAAAATTGATTTTCAAAAAAATCCGTTTTTTTTTCAAAAAAGTCAGCAATCCTTGAAATTTTTAAAGCTTTTTCGATGGCATCTTGATGAACATCCCAAGGAGCAACTTTGCCCCAATTTAACTATCTTCGTATCTATTACGGTTTCCGAGATATACCAATGCTCGTACCTCGAATTTGTAGCACCCTATATTATGCACTAATGTACACAGTTTGACTGCACCTAAACGAATTCTCTAAGTTTTTTATGATTGGATCTCGACGAATTATTGCAGGGCTGTATAGATAGTTGAAAGGCACACTTTGTGTTAATTTATTTTATCGATACTTTTTGTTGACTATATTCTTATAAAATTAGTAGTAAATTTTAATAATATAACTTTAAATCCTAAATTTCTCATATTCAAACTTATATCTTGATAATTCTGAAAAAAGTAGTAATAAAAAACATTATTTCTGTATCGCATAGATAGTAATATATTAATACATTTGATTCTAGGTAAAAGTCTGCAAAACTTAACAAAAAACTACAAATTGGCGTTTGGATCATTCTTGGATAAACCCGGAATGCCTTTTGCTCTAACAGATATGGAAAATTTAATAAATCCTTGCAAATGGGAAATGGAAATATGCAATCCTAACTATTTATTTAAGCATATATTAAACTTTACTCACAGTTCTGATAAATTCTCTGAAGCAGTAAGTAGAATATCAAATGCTTTATAAAATTGAATAAATAAGAAAGTTGAGTAAATAAGTCTCAGAAGCCTCGAAATGTACAGGGTGTCCCATTTTGGTTGATATCATACGGCATCTCCGTTATCAGTAAAGATAGAAGGGTACGGTTTGCACAAGCCAGTCCCACTTTTTTGTCAAACGGAAGTTGCCTTAAACAAAATTTTCAAAGGCCTTTTCGTTTCTGAGCTACAGGGTCTTTTTGAAAATTAATATTGAGAAAATCCTTGCAGGATTGAGCTTGGATTCTGCAAACCCAGCTATTTATTTAAGCATACATTAAACTTTACCCGCAGTCCTGAAAAATTCTTTAAAGCAGTAAGTAGAATATCCAGTGCTTTAGGTATAAAATTGAATAAAAGCCTTGAAACGAGCATATTGTTTCCATAAATATTGTATATATTTGTACATATTTGTGCACTATTTCACTATTTGTACACTATTGTAAACTGAGGTACCATAATTTTGGATCTTAGACCTGTATGGCATCCATTAGTCTTTAAATAAATAAATAAATGAACCCTTAGGATGCGTAATTTTTTTTAAGCTGATTTATCAAAACTCGTCTCAGAAGGTGGATTCTGCTAGCATCTGCTATTTCAGGTAGTATTGTTTTCAATTTTTGCTATGCATACTTCATTTACCTCTGCGTAAAAGCCTTGTATATGAATTTTTAAAGTAGCTCAACCTAAGACGTTTATGGATGTAAAGCACCAGATGGCGGGGCGTGTTTCACAGTCTTTTGCTACAGAAAAATATTTTTTGTTACTCTGAGTTTTGAAGCGACCAATAAAAACAGAGAAAATAAAAATCGATATTTTTCGGACCGTGCCAATTGGTTACTAATCGACCAGATACTTTTTGTCTATTAGATATGCTATAAGAGCTGGTAATTATACAATTCGACCATTGTAAATACCCGACAAATTCCGCAAGGCCGACGAGGCCGATGCTTTTCACTGATAAGAAAAAAAAAATGTTTGTTTAGATAATTTTCGAGATATTTTTTCTTTCTGAATGCACATTTTTAAAGTATTTTATATTCTTTGTCCGCTTGATCTATTATACTGGTCGCACGTATCGAAGTTCTGTTTCTTCTAGTTTTAAAAAATGTTCTTATTTCTTTATGGTTGTAGTGGTTGTAGTGTAAAATTAGATTAATTTTATTAAGTTTAATTATAATGTTTAGTGTAGAGTTTAGAATATCAGAAATAGTTTAGTAGTGTTTTTATAGTTCATTTATTTTGTAGTTAAGTAGTAGGTGAAGGGATAATTTGGTTATTTTTTCTTTTTGTTTGATTAATTAGTAAGTTTATAATTTTTTCAGTGTAAAATACAAGAAGTAGTTGTGTAGTGTTTTTATAAGAAATTATATTCGTTTATTTTGTAGATGAGTAGTAGGTGAAGGTATTTGGGTATTTTTTCTTTTTGTTTTTCTTCTAATTGTAGTAATTCTATTAAGTATTGTGATAGATACTCTATATATTCCTTCAACTTCGTTGAAAAGTGCGTTATCATATAATTTTGGTTTTCTGGTAGTAGAATATACGAAAAAAAATCTGATCAAATTTATTTTAAATTAAATTAATCGAGTCTTATTAATCAAATTAATCTAGACAAATAAAAATAATAGTTAGTTTCTAAATACTATACAGGATGAGTTTTCTACGATGTTCTCTATGGGTATCTCGGAAACTACTGGAGATAGAGAGTCGGTTAAATGGGGAAAGAATTGCAGTTTTGTGGGGTTATTCGGATTTTTTTTGTGGGGTCACGCGCCTTTCGGATTTTTCGGAGAAGTTCAAGGCTTACTAGATATTTCGAAAAACACAAATTTTGGCTATTTTAAAACTTGTCTCTAATTCCATTATAATCTACCGTATGATCGAATAAAAACGGCGTCAACGATGGCTATGACGCCGTTTTTATTCGATCATATGGTATTTTAGACAAAAAGTTTTCAGATAAAAGTTGTAGATAATCACATAGAGACCTAATGAGTTTGTGTTTTCTGCTTTTTTTCTAAAGCCTGTCATTTTTGACATATGACACAAACATTATGTTTTTTAAATGGAAATCCTAGTTGACCATGACTTCATAAAAGGCGCCATTCTTTAAGCTTTTCAGCGATATAGGTATAATATGTTTTTTTTTTTGAAAAATTACAAGTTATAGCCAATACTTTACTTTCTTGGCTAATTCCCATACCAATAATACCATACCAATTAGTTGGCATCAAAAATATAAAAAGGTTTATGTTTTCAAAAAAATATATCGTAAAATTCGTAAAGCACTCAATTTAGAATAAAATAATCTAAGAATGAAATGATTCTTTTATAAACCTGCATTAAATCAAATTAAAATAGGTATGTAACTTTTTTTTTAAATATTAATTAACAGCAATTAGCATTATCATAAATTATAAATAATGTACCAACATATCGAAATAATAATTTCTTTGTTAATACGGTTTAGAATTCTTAAAATAACAGGTAAAAATAATACACAATTTACAATAAAATAAAAGTTTCGTTTAAATTTCTTAATCAGCTGATCATTATTAAAGTTCGCAGAAACCCGGGGCTATATTATTACATTACTCTGAGGAAAATAACGAAAATAATCGATATTTTTGACTCCGCCCCGAAAGGTTCACGATTTATCCTCCAGTTGGCAGCACATTTCGTCTAGTCGGTTGAACAACTTTAAGAATATATAAACAAGGGTAAAAGTTAATATCGGAATCTATCTAATTTCTTACCATTTTTACTTGGTCCGCATGAACATCCCTAATGTCAATAACTACAATAATTATATTGCTTTACCTGAAGGGCTTAATTCAAAAAAAATGTTTTACTTTAATCTACAGGGTGGTCCGAACTGTATTCTGGAAACTTCGGCAGCATATTCTGTAGATAAAAATAAGTAAAGAAGTTCTTATAAATGTATGTCCTAAAATGCTTAGTTTCGGAGATACAGGGTGTAGAAGTCATTTTTATTTCGATTTTTTCCAAATATCTTCTGAAGTAACGTCAATATTTGGATGAAATTTGATGTCTGGGAGTTTTTTGATATGAGAAATTTGATTTTGATGTCAATATGACTCCTATTTGTAGAGGGCCCCACCTACATATTTTTAACTGGTTTGAAGAGTAATAACTTTTCGTCCGTACCTGTATAAAACTACTAAGTAAAAAAATATACATTTACAATGTTTTTAACGTAATAAAGGTCTCTTGATAATAATCGCTACGAGTAATAGTTTTTGAGATATTTGAAATCGAACTTATTATTTTGTAGATGAGTAGTAGGTGAAGGTATTTGGGTATTTTTTCCTTTTGTTTTTCTTCTAATTGTAGTAATTCTATTAAGTATTGTGATAGATACTCTATATATTCCTTCAACTTCGTTGAAAAGTGCGTTATCATATAATTTTGGTTTTCTGGTAGTAGAATATACGAAAAAAAAATCTGATCAAATTTATTTTAAATTAAATTAATCGAGTCTTATTAATCAAATTAATCTAGTCAAATAAAAATAATAGTTATTTTCTAAATACTATACAGGATGAGTTTCCTACGATGTTCTCTATGGGTATCTCGGAAACTACTGGAGATAGATACCGTTTTTATTAAATCATATGGTATTTTAGACAAAAAGTTTTCAGATAAAAGTTGTAGATAATCACATAGGTACCTAATGAGTTTGTGTTTTCTGCTTTTTTTCTAAAGCCTGTCATTTTTGACATATGACACAAACATTATGTTATGCTGACTAAATTGTTAATAGACTGAAATCATAAATTTGAAATGTTTTTGTGTCAAATCATCATCAATCATCATTTTTTCGAAGAAAATTTTATGATTAATTTAAAAAAATAAAAAATTTCCAAATTTATCATTTCTGTCAAATAACTATCTATACTACTCAACATATTTATTTTTTGTCAATAATGAAATGTAGGTATTGACTATTTCCATTATAAATATCTCGAGAAGGGTTGCTCGTAACGATTTTTATCAAGCGACATTTTTTACGTAAGAAATTACGAAACTGTATATTTTTTCACTCAGTAGTTCTATACCAGGTACGGACTATATAAAAGTTATTACTCTTCAAAACAGTTAAAACACATGTAGGTGGCGCCCTCTACAAATAGAAGTCATAATGACATCAAAATCAAATTTCTCATGTCAAAAAACTACCAGACACCAATTTTCATCCATATATCGACGTTACTTCAGAAATTATTTGGAAAAAATCGAAATAAAAATTAAACTTCTACACCCTGTATCTCCGAAACTAAGCATTTTAGGACATATATTTATACGGAGTTTTTTACTTATTTTTATCTGCAGAATATGCTGCCGATGTTTCCAGAATACAGTTCGGACCACCCTGTATAATTTGAATTTAAGAAAAAATGCCATAAACTGTAAGTTTAAAAAGCCTGCTTCGTAGTATATTAAAGTTGGTGTTCTACAGTTATTAATATCAGAAATCTTATTTTTAGGTCCGCGAAAGTCAAATATCTATGAATTTAGATGGTCCGGAGGGAGCACTAGAAGCGATATATCAAATTCTAGTGTGTGGTGAAAAATTCGGTTGGACTCAAGAATCTTATAAACTCGTGGTACTCTCTACCGATGGTCTTCTTCATACTGCTGGAGATGGTATCCTAGTGGGCGCCACATTAAGGAATAATGGAACCTGTATGATAGACTATAATGGCGAACACACGGCACCTTTGCAGTACGATTATCCCTCTCTGGACGAAATACGCTATTTGCTCAGAAAGAAAAAAGTAAGAGCTCTTATTTTATTATTAAAGCAAAATCGCAAATCGCAGTAAAATCGCAACTCGCAACTATAGTAATATTGGTTGCCTAATAGTCGTAGGGGTAGACCAAAAAACGTTTCAAATCATGATAGAATAAAACCGCTTGGCAGAAAGTTTACTTACATATAGTAGGTTGATTTGGCCCGCAGCACCTTATCAGGAGTGGAGGCAGATTCAAAATGGCGGAATTTTTCAAAATGGCGCAGTTTAACTTAATTCTTATGAGACTAATGGGGTTGAAATTAATAGAACAGCAATTTTAACTTTTATAATTTATTAAAAGTACAGCGTTTTTAAGAAAAATAAATAAAATGGCATAATTTTTTACACAATGGCGCCGGATACCATTATTTAGTCTTCGGAATCTTCTAAACTAGAATAAAAAATTAAAAAGAATAAGTCTACTCCGAAACTTTTTGTTAGTCTAGCTCGGAAAAATATAAAAATATTTAATAATACCAACTTTGAATTACACTGTGGGTGCACATGTCTTTGCAGGAACTGCATCGCAGTGTACATGGAAGACCACTTCTTTTGCATTTACACCGACTACTGCTACATCCAGTTTTACAGGAGCATTAAGCTAGCTCTTGGCATGCCTGCCATACATTTGGAAGAACAGACCATAGAGGAGTCCACTTTGAATTCGTTTCAACCCAGCCACATCTCTTAGGTGATGGCGTTGCGTCATCCATATCGTAAGAACGGCCCCAGACTTGACCAGCTTGGTAAGCAGCCCTTAGGATATGTTGATACGAGAGTGCTGCAGAAGTCGGAGGTATCAAATGAATTGGCTTGTTTTGAGAACAAAATAATTCTTTTCTGTGGTGTCAGTGTTGGTTGCAGTGCTAAGTGGATTGTACATCTGAACAGTGAAGCTAGCAAGAACTTTGACGACATCGTCCGGAATTTTGCTAAAAAAATGAAGAGATCAATTTTGTTTAATGGGTTTTTTTAAGAAATCTGGCCAGTTTGGTGGAAATCTAGTAAGGCCGGTTACTTGGCGGCGAATTCGATGTCCTCGTTCTTCACGGACAGTATTTTTAACGCTATCAATTACATATTGATCCCAAACAATTTCAATGCGCAATGCTCCCAATTTTGCGGCATCTTTTCAATATAAGATTTAAGCTCCAGTTCAAAATATTCTTGAAATGTTTTGCTATAACGGGGAATGACAAAGTGTACAACAGCTGCACCATCGTAAACAATACCCTCGCATGATTCTGGATCAGTATCGCTTGGTACCAGTTCTACAACAGAAAAAACATATGGATATGTAAAACTTAAACTTAATACGCGTAATTAATTATGTACCTTCAAGAATATTGCTGAGGTCACTTTTTTGTGTGCCCCCGGCGTAATTCTCCATTTTGAGACAGAGATGTTGGTCATTGTTGGTTTTCATGCTGAAAGAACACATTTAAATCCAGTTCACAGGAAAGGCTTGCAATAAATAATCTTGAAAATAGCTGATAGTCCAGTTTGAGTGTCTGGATTGTACAATTCACTTGAGATTTTTTTATCGTATTTTTGGATGCAAAAATTGACAAAGAAATTTTTTTAATTTTTTCATACAATGGAACAGTTTTTTCTATAATTCCTTCTTTTACAAAAGTATCGTACATCTTTAAGCCTTCTTTTTCGGCACTATATAAAGATTTTACGCCATTCCTGATCAACAATAACTCTCGTATCAATTGCAATAAGTGCTGTTTCTTGTTCTTCAAAAGGATTACCAAACTGTACAAAACTTTCTTTAAGAGCTTGACACTTCTGTATGTACAAGCTTGCTTTGATACGCATCGTATTGTTCGTGATGTTCTAAGTTGCTAGCCTCAATTTCGTCTCCGATGTTAAATTCAGTCATAAGCCTAGTAAATTCCGGTCCACTCAACATCCAGCGGCGCGGCGCAACGCAGATGGATCTTTAGAAATTTCAGATTTTTCAGAAATTTAATATTTTTTCTTCGGATTTTTTTTGTTTGGGGGGCAGGTGGGGAAAGGGGGACGGGACGGGGGGACGGAAGGGGGCGGTAGAGGGACGGAAGAGGGACGGTAGGGGGGGACGGAAGGGGTGGCGCTAGGGGGACGGAAGGGGGGACGGAAGGGGGTCTTCTCACAATTACTTTCTTGGTGCGCTGCTGCTTGTAATAAATTTTTGATTTCAACCAAAACTTATATTTCGCGCGTAGGTGATAGAAAACTAGCTCGCAATTACTAATTAATACAGAACTAAATTCCGCCATTTTGAATTTTATATACTTAGTGTAATATTGATCCTATTATTATTAGCATTTGAATTCAAAATACACTTATTAATTTAATCGATTAAAAAAAGCAAAAAAAAACAGTAATTCTAAAAAAACGCCGCCATTTTGAATTTGCCTCCACTTGCAATAAGGTGCTGCGGGTCAAATCGATTGTTTATGTGTATATACCACCTATACCAAGTGGTTTGCTTCTATCATTATTTGAAACGTTTTTCGTGTATTTGGGTTCTACCGCTACGACTATAAATTGAAACTTGCAAATAGAAGAAATTGCAGTCTCAGTTTCCTATGAGAGGCAATCACAGGTTGCGATTGCGGCTTTGAAATCACTGCGCTCATTTGTCGCCAAGAGCATCTAAAATATGATTTTTTTAGGCCAAGTGTGTTACTTGTGTGTGAGAGGCTTACCTGCCATAAGGTGTGCTGCTAAATATCGTCTCTTTGCAAATCGCTGCTCATTTCAACTAACAGTGTGCATTTACCAATTAATAGAATACTTTAATGCTCTTAATTTTCTGGTCTGGACTTTTTTATGGGGATATGTTAAATTCAGTGTTTACAAAACTCGAAAAACTATTGTCGACAACATAAGAGATATGATTGTGGCTGCTTTTCTGAATAGAATTCCACATATCACTTTTAACATGAAAAGATCTTTTGAAAAGAGAATCATTTTATGCAGTAAACAGGAAAGGAAGCATTTTGAGCATTTAATTTTATCTGGCTAATTTTTGTCACATAATTATACTTTTATATCTAATTCTAATTCTGTAATAATTAAAATATGTTTTAATCGTTCTATTGTTTTATCCCCTTTAAGTATTTTACTCTACATACTTAATTTTTTGTTATATTCACAAAAGGTATATCACCACCACCTAGATTTTATCAAATAAAAAAGATCTAATGGCGCAAAATCGACAAAATCCTACAAATGATAAAATCTATGAAAATCTTTGTCTGAGGGACAGGCAACTTTAATAGTGTTTTGAAGATACTGATACTTAATACTGTTTTGAAGAATTCTCCATTGAATACCGGAGTAATATATTAGGTGTTCCATTTAAAACTAAAGGTGCAACTTGCTTTTAAATGTAACCAATGTTCAATATTAATTTTGTCTCACCTATGTGTGCGAACACAGTGCAAGCAGGTTTGCCGCTTACCGGTAGTCGGCGCCAATCTGGGTACCTATTCTTGACATCGTTCGCAACTTTGCGTATATGCATCACGTGTATTGTTATAAACAGGGTATCCCAGCAATAAGTGCAAGTATTTTAAGGGGTGGTAGATCTTGATAAAAGAAACATATTTTCTCTTTATCGTTTTTCAAATAAGTCCAAAATAACGGAGTTATTTTACTTTGAAAATTTCCAAAAAAAATGATTTTTTGCTAAAATTTTGAGAACCACTGGATCTTTTCTGGATTTTCTTTCTTGTAAATTTAATCTACTACCTATGTTACCATATTATCAAGAAATTATTTTTTTTTAAATAAAAACTAAAAAAAAATCCAAAAATTTTCCAAATTTTTTTTAAAAAGATTCCGAATTTTCAAAAAAAAAAATTTAGAAAAAAACTTCATAGGCGTGTTTCAGGAGTTGAACTATACTACTAGTTAAGTTAAAATACTTGCACTTATTTCTGGGACATCCTGTATATGGGTATATAGTAGCGCCGCGCCGCCTCGCGCTTATTACCTTGAAAAATTAAAGCGTGTTATCGAATCGGCTAGTTCACAGTGAAAGCAGGTAGCCGCCGTCAACCAGCGTTCATCGGCGTTCTCGCTTTTACCGGAACGAAAATTTATTTATTTCTGCTTTTGCAGGCGCCGACGGCGCACAGAGGGTATTAAGAACTAAAAGTTGGCCAAAATTATGTTGTATGATTTTTTTGCTTTTTTGCTAGTAATATTAATTATTAGAGGAGAGGGTGCTAATATGGAACCTCATTTTGTTTTTCCTACACAATATTTTTTCCTCTACTCTGAAACCCTTTCCACCGATCAAATAGGGCCATTCTGTGCAAAACCAAGCAATTGGATGAGAATGCTAGAACAAGAAAGTAATTTGTATATTATAGACGCTATGTGAGCGAGGATGGGTGTTATAGGGTAAAGACTATTTCCTTTAAGAATCTATTTAAATCAATGTTTATTTTGGCAGTGGCAAATATTGGCATGATTTTTGTACATATTCCAAAGCTGGAGACTTTAAGCATTGAACGGATACTAATTTCCATGCGGAATATTGCCGAATAGTCTTACACCTTATAAAAATGCCTCTGATTTTTTAAATATAAAACATTATAAAAAATTTCAAATAATTAGAATAGAAGGAAACGTTTCAAAATAAAAATATGGCATAAGACAGGACTTGCCAGCTGGCTCTGTATCCATCATGACAGTTATTATAAACAATTTGCAAAAAAGCACTACAAACAATTCCACTATTTTATAATCTTCGAAAATATTCAGAATACACTCAAGATAATTCATACTTATAACTGAAATATATTATTTATTTGGTAGTCAACTTACGACTTAAAAAAAGCTAATAAACGTGCTTACATTTAGTATTAATAGATTTGTATTCAGTTAAGATAAAAAATGAAAATAAAAAAATATCACTTTTGGTCAGGTTTATAGACCAAATACCCCTATGTGCGGCGCCGTTGCGGCGGCGGCGGCGGCGGGCGCGGCGTTTGAATATGGTTAGGTTAGTTAATCAGGTAAATTTCCTCTTAATTAACTACTTCCGAACCCTGCTCGCATCTCCGAAAAAGCCATATAACAATACACGTGATGCATATACGCAAATTTACGCGTGTCTCACGTGTATTTTTATATGGGTTTATGGGAGATGTGAGCGATATTTGAAGATGCGAGTGGTCAAGAATAGGTACCCTGAGACGGCGCTGGTTGCCGGTAAGCAGAAACCTGCCTCCACTATGTTCGTACCCTATGGTTATTGTAATTAACTATTAGGATATACATGGTAAATTATAATTTAGGTAGTTGTTATTGAAACTTAAATTTTATTCTTTATTTTCACAAAATGTAAAATATGTGAAAATCCTCAAAGTTTTGGCATAGTATGCTTCTTTGATAAAATCTCTATTACGACAAAAACAACATTGATGCGTAACTTTTTTGGGGACACGCTGTAGAATTCTATATAATTTTATAAAATGCGTTCAGTTAACTGTTAATTTATAGGCTTCCAAAATTTTATTTCCGATATAAACTACCGTTCTCCTTGGACCCTACGCCTCGTATGAGGGTCACCACTCTGTATATGTGATAGACAAGTGATTATTTCTCTATGATATTTTTTAGGTAAATCTTATAGTCGCCGTCCCACGAAATAGTAGTAGTTATTATTTAAATTTAGCAAATAGCGTATTTGAAAAAGAAATGTATGTTGCTTTGCTGGAAGGAGATTCTTCCAATATTTTAGATTTAGTGAACGATGGTTTTAAACAATTTATTAGGTAAGCAATGTTAAAAAACAATTATTAATAATTAAAATATATTTAAAAAAAATAGGAATTGATGAGTTACACTTTTTATACTTATTCTATTATACAGAGTTGTTCACCACATACGACACGGAATATTGTAGATAAACGATTAGATTTTTACAAATTGTAAGTTTTGGGTTCGTTGAAGGACTATTAGAGCTACAATTTAAAAATATTTTTACAAGTTACAGAGTGTCCCAAATAAATAAAAAATATCAAAGTTGTATTTTTTTAAATGGGACAACCTGTATATTATTACATTTTTAGTTTCTACGATTAAAATAAAGGTAAATTTGATTAAGGTTTATTACACTTAAACCTTACCGTTTTTGAAATATTTTCAATTTTGTGAAACTGCAGTAAAAATTTTAAGGCTTCATTTCTCCGAGGGTATCAAAGTGTTTAATACTAAATATTTACTGAAATTTATTTATTGATCAGTTATTGTGTTGCAATAATAAAAATTTTACTACCTTATACAGAGTGTCTAAATATTTATTTTAAATAATTATTAGCTTTAAACGGCAATAACTTGTTTAATTTAAATGGAACACCCTGTATATTTTATGAGAATCACATGCACAATTTAATTGTCTATGAAATTGTATTATACCATTTTTTACCTATCTCTTCAAGCTTCCGTAGAAAATGCATTTTCTAGTAATTTAGAAGTCATTTATCAATATACCCATGGAATACTGACATTTTAGATTATTTTTTGAAGATGTACATAATTTTTAAAGAGTAGATAATAACTAATATAGTCAATATAGTTCGTTTATTTCATTAAAAAATAAAAAAACTGTTCAAATATTTATTAAAAAGGACCAATTAATGTGATTCCAGTATTCAAACTACATTAATTGACTGTTTGCGTTGATTAATAGTAATTGCTCCAAATGTAATTGCTCCAGTGTGGTAAAAAAACTAACACCTTAAAAATTATATTTCATTTTTTGACAAATGTTTATTTATAACAGACACGTTCATTTTTATAACTTATTATTATATTGATTTCTGATTCAAATCCACATTTATTTAGAATAATTTATTAACGAACACAATTAAGTATGTAATTAATTAGTATTTGGGCGAAAATACTGGTGGTATATTTAATTAATGGTATACTTTTTTATAAAGATTTAAATAGTTTTCTTTTTGCATACAAATGGGCTAGTAATATCATCGTTTTACTAAAAACGATAATATTACTAGCTTGTACATTTTGTACATTTTTTGTTGTTTTAAAAACAATCTAAAATGCCAATACTCCATGGGTATATTGGACAAATGAGGTCTAAATTATAAGAAAATGCATTTTCTACGAAAACTTGAAGGGGTAGGTAAAAAATAGTATAATACAATTTGATAGACAATTAAATTGTGCATCTGATTCTCATAAAATATACAGGGTATTCCTTTTAAATTAAACAAGTTATTGCCGTTTAGAGCTAGTAATTATTTAAAATAAATTTTTAGACACTCTGTATAAGGTAGTATAATTTTTATTATTGCAACACAATAACTGATCAATAAATAAACTTCAGTAAATATTTAGTATTAAAAACTTTCATACCCTCGGACAAATGAAGCCTTAAAATTTATACTGCAATTTTACAAAATTGAAAATATTTAAAAAACGGTAAGGTTTAAGTGTAATAAACCTTAATCAAATTTACCTTTATTTTAATCGTAGAAACTAAAAATGCAATAATATACAGAGTGTTCCATTTAAAAAAATACAACTTTGGTATTTTTTATTTATTTGGGACACTCAGTATCTTGTAAAAATATTTTTAAATTATAGTTACTCCGTGTCGGATGTGGTGAACAACCCTGTATATAATATATGAAATTTATTAAAATTAATTGCAATATTGTACTTCTATTAAAATACAATGCAACCTCTTCAATCGGAATTTCCGAATTTCTGAATCGGCCCGACTGTGTTGACACAAACACCGCTGTTGATACCGACTCCGATGTTGACACCGACACCGGTGTTCATTTCGATACCGGTGTTCATCTACAACACCGGTGTTCATCTCGACACCGGTTTTGACTACGACACTGGTTTTGATATCGACACCGGTGTTTGGTAAACGGCTTAAAGAAGAAATAATGTTGATTAATAAGTTCAAAATAAACCTGATAATAACAATGTCGTATCGGTTCTTATTTTTTTCGTTTATTAAAGCGCACCGATTTTAACTTAAAGCTTTCAAATTTAAATATAATTTTTTTGCCAGACTAATCACTAAAAGAAAGTGGAAGGGTCAGATAAACAAATATAAAGTAAAAAATTGTTTAATCAATACAATATTAATACAATCAAAACAAATAGGAAACAAAACAAAACATAAAAAAACAACAATTCGTAGCTGTAAAATAAACTAAAAAATATTACATTAAAATAACTAAAAAAAAACAAACAAATGGCACCATCGACACCGACACCGGTGTTCATCGCGATACCGGTGTTAAGATAAACATCGGTGTTGAGATAAACACTGGTGTCGAGATAAACCCCGGTGTTGAGATAAACATCAATGTCGAGATAAACACCGGTGTCAAGATAAATAACGGTGTTGTAAATGAACACCGGTGTTGAGATAAACACCGGTGTCGGTGTTGACACCGGTACACCGACTAAAACACCGGTGGTCATCAACATCTAACACCGGTGTTCAAATCTCAACACCGAACAGGTCTACTCACCGGGTCGTCTAGCCGCCGGCGCCGGGCCTATTGAGACGAGCCGGGTAGAGGAAACAAAAACATTAACTGCCATTTGGGACCAAATTAAGATTCTGAGCAACACAAGTTTTTTATGCCGGTAAGAAGTAAGCAAATGAACAAAAATAAAGTTTAATATTGAACAATAATTATAATAGCGACAAAATTAACATATATTTGTAGCTGTGGTAAATCTCTACTTTTTGGTTGTAGTTTGTATTTTACAGTACACAAATTGTACAATTTGCACTTGTAGGGCTTGCAACTGCTTTGACGAGAATAGAATAGGGTGCCCCCTGGACCCAAGGGGCTAGTTTTCTATCTAGCCATGCATTCCTTTGACTTGGTCCCTCCATCGTACGATTTAAGTTTTTGGTAAGGTTGTCTTCTATTCGTCTTGGCGGTTAAGCCTCTTGGCTTAACTCTTGTCCCCCCCCTTCTACCTGTGATACATGACCACAAACAGTAGAGTGTGTATGACGGACAGGGTAGTCCCATCCGGCATCGTTATACATCTTGGTGCAATTCTCCGTCCACGTCATAACTACAGCCAGGGATAAGACCAGTGATATACTCCTTAGAGCCACCGTTGCCACCCTTGTGATTTTTTTTCCAATAACAAGGGGCCGTCCTCTATTGTGTTTGTCCCCTTTCTATATCTGCATCCTTTCTCCTATCCCTGTGCCCTCCACTAACTTATACAGGTCCTTGTTAGGATGGGAGCATAGTTCCTGCGGTTCTAGCCTAGATTTCCCAAATAAAAAGTGTCGTTTGCGATCCAGAACCTCGCAGTGACATATTATGTGCTCCGCTGTTTCAGGTTTTTTAGCGCAGAGTCTGCTGTAAAGGCTTCCTTGATACAGGTTAAGCTTGTTCAGGTAACACTTCACAGCCATGTGTCCTATCAAGAGGCCTGTTGTAATCCGCACTTTATTCCTGTTCTTTTGCGGTTTTAGAGCTAGGTCCTTGGATAAAGGCCTTGCTGTGCCTGTGCCCCTGTCTGTTTCTCCAGTGGACATTCTGCTTTTTCCCTGAACCAGAGTTTTAGTGCACGAGCCATACATTTGGGTATTCCTAGTACTGGCTCTGGACCAAAATAGGATGCCGATGATCCTTGTCTAACTAGCTCATCGGCTTTTTTATTGCCTTGGATGATGTGACACTCTTGGGATGCATAAAAATCTCCATTTTACGAATAATTTTTGAAATTACTTCGCTTTCAACGTTAAACGTTTTCCACATTACATTTCGATTTCTAATCAAAGCACTGATTCACGAAACTGATGATCGTCAGGCGTAGATATTGAACTAGAAGTGAACTGATTTATACATTCAAGTCAAGAGAGTTATACATTCAAAAAGAGAGGAATATGAAATACACAGCTAGGGGACAGCGTGCTACGTAATTGACAAGTCTTTAGAGGAACCTTCCGATTATGGAGGTAGCGCAGAGCGTCCGATTATAATAACGCAATTCGGGTGTTCCGATTATTGGATGTTCCGATTAATGCGCGATTATCACTATACGTAACATCAGTCGTCATCGTCTCCGAACAGAAAGCATGGGGTAAATAGGAGGTGGACGTTACTGAGAGTGTGAGTATACAGGGTAACGCACCTCATTCGCCTCGGTTGATTATACGAAAATGGAAAGATGAAAAAAAAATTATGGGTAGGTATTTGTAGAGCAGCAATGTGCATAATTTAAAATTATTTTCGAATGTACAGGGGTGTGTCACAACTAAGATCCATAGCAAAGTTATATTTTTTCTTACGGAACACTCGGTATTTTATTTCATTTTTAGATTCTTGGGAATAAAATAAGGCATTTATTATAAGGGTTTAATATGTTTAAATCAAATATGCATGCTATAAAAAAAAGTTTGTCAACATCCTGTACTTTTCAGAGTTAATTTTTATGCTGTTTTGAAGCCAGCATTGTTTCCTTAATATTCTATTTTAAATATTTATTTTACATAAAAACTTCGTTATTTCAAATACAACGCTATGTGTATTTTTTAAAATGAGTCAAAGCATGTTTCAATGCTCTTTCAAACTATATTAGGGTTTCCTATACCTACCTAGTCAGATTTTGAATAAAAAGCGATTTTTCAATAAAATGACAATCAAGATGGCTGGTGCATGGCAATTTGCTAGTGACAATTAGTAGCTATTTTCAAAATCGACATTAGTTTATGGACTTTATTTATAGTTATTAACGTAATAAGGCCGATAAACAACAAATAACGGCCGGGCTGAAGTTTGTGATCCGAGGCGATAGCCGAGGATCATAAGCAGCCAAGGCCGTTATTTGTTATCGGCCGTGTTGCGTTCTAGATTTTTCGTCATACTGCAGATTTTTTAGAGCAATAAACACTACTATTTAATAACAAATTTTATTGAACAATAACACAAGTAAGGATAAAAAATACATAATGTCTTATACTAAAATTCATTTTTCATGATAATGAACATGGAAATTAAAAGTGCACTTGTTGTTCTTAGAAATCTGTAATCCTTCCCAGGGATTTACAGATTTTATAGAAGAAGATGATGCTACTGAAGAATGGCAAATATTTGTATCCACTAAAGACACATTATTTTTGGAGCTATCATGAAAAAGTTGATTTGTTATTTTCATTCTTTTGGAAACTGATTTTTCTATGTAAGTTTCTGCCACTGTTGAAGACTCCCATCCTCCTAGCTCCTTTAGCGATAGTAAATCACCACCATTTTCGGCGAGCATGGTTGCTGATGATCTACGAAATGAATGCCCTGTATAACGTTCTGGATTCTCCAAGTTCAAAAATTTTGCAATTTTCTGCGGTACGCTCCCGATGGTATGTATACCGACGATTTGCTTAACACACTTGCCTTTCTTGTAACCAATGAAAAATTTTGGATTGTCAAAGTTACGAGGACGCAGGTTGATGTATTTTTTGTATAAACCATAGGCATCAAACGGAAGGCCCGTTTTTGGAATAAGAAATTTCCTATCTTTCTTATTTTTAGTATTTCTTAATGAGACAAGAATATTTTTCTCCGAATCTTCGAAATCATCAACTGTGAGTGACCAAAGCTCGCTGCGCCTACAAGCTCCAAGAATACCAAGCACCAATACAATTTTTTCGAGTAACCAGGTGTAATCATCGGCATCCAGTAGAAAATTATTTATGTCATTCTCCGACAGAACTTTGGCTTTTTTGGTGAATAACCTTCGTTTTTGCGCCTCAGAAACATGAACAGTTTACCAAATCTATGAACAAATATAATTTAGATGAGTATGATTAAATATCGAAGAATATAATGGCTTTTTTACCTTGATATGTCGATGTTTTCATATACTCTCAACGCAAGCTTCAGCATGGATATCTTTGTCCACAGTGATGTAGGAGAATACATTTCAGACATTCTTTTAGCATAAGCCAGCAATACCGCTTCATTTATGCTGTTTATACTTCTATCCTGCCGCCACTTCAAAAAATTGTCATATTCCTGCTGATATCTCTCTCTGGTTATAGTCGGAAGTAAATTTTGAGTAGCCGCAGCCGCTTCCTCCTGTATTTCCAACGGAATTTCTCGCGACATCTCGCTATGGTCTATTTTCCCAATTTTTGAAAAGTCCAACTGACAATAAATAGTCATTGTTGCAGGTGACAGACGTTACGATTACCTTAGAAACTTAACGGCCGCCGGCCGTTATGATAACGTCCGGCGGACGTTATATGCATCTTTTCCATTCTGATTTTGCTTATGTTATAATAATATAACAATATAGTATGACGAAATAGTTATAACAGTTTACTTTTATTTAATTTACCTACAATAGTTTAATAAATAAGTATTTATTATTTTATCAAGAAAAATAAAGAAGTAGTTCTTTGATTTATATGACGATGACTTGTAGATATACTGGATTTTCTATAAAAGAACCAATTAAAGCAAATTAATTTTCTTCACTTTCAACGACAGGTTTCTGACTAATCGGTTTTTCATATACCACACTATCAGCTCTGCGAAATAGGAAAAGTAGTTTTTCAAAGGAACGTTTGTCAAGAAAATTCCTATTTGGATATCTTTGAGCATAAACCCTTTCCGGCCAACAAACAATTGAAGGTGTGGCTGCTATAACAAGGCAGCTCCATTTTTAATAAGTTTGCGGGAAATTGAAAAAGCAAGAACCGAGCAGCTGGTTCTTGCTGCAAACCCAGAGCAAAGCAGCTCTAACTAAGGTCGCTATTTATGTACTGTTATATTGAGAGAACTGATTGTTGCAGGAAACGATCGGCCAATTTTTAAATGGTAATTCATTAAATATCTCATTTTCGAAAAAAAGTGGAGCTGCCTGGTTATTGCAGCCACCCCTTCAATTGTTCTCACAAAATAAAATCAGTAGTAACATACATATATCCATTCCTTCCGCCAGCAGATACTGCTTCATTTTTTTTTGATAAAATAATAAATTACTTATTAACCTTATTGTAGGTAAATTAAATGAAAATAACCTGTTATAAATTTAAATGAAGTCCATAAACTAATGTCGATTTTGAAAATAGCTACTAAGTGTCACTAGAAAATTACCATGCGACCTAACCAGCCATCTTGATTACAATTTGATTGAAATATCGCTTTTTATTCAAAATCTGAGCCAGATAGGTATAGGAAACCCTAATATGAAACTGAAAGAGCACTTAAATCTGCTTCGGCTTATTTAAAAAAAAACTACAGAGTGTTACATAACATAACGAAGTTTTTATGTAAAATAACGAAGTTTTTATGTAAAATAAATATATAAAAAAAATTAAATAAAATGCTGTGTGTTCCATAAGAAAAAATATAACTTTGGTATAGATCTTAGTTCTGACACACCCTGTATACTTCAAAATAATTTTAATTTGTGCACATTGCCTTCTCACATATACCCATAAAATATTTTGTTTCCACATCTTTCCGTTTTTATATAATCAACCGAGGCGAATGAGGTACGTCACCCTGTATATTCATTGTTTGCAATTTTAGAATATTTACCTGACGTTCCTGTCGGCGGTACGGTAACGTGACGGTGACGTTCGTGCGACGGTGACGACGGTGACAGAACGTGACGGTCGTGCATAAAGAGGTTGTTGTGTAGATATAATACTAGTTGTTTGTACCATTGCAATGCTTCAAAATTTATTCTTAATTTGAACAATGGATGTTTTAGGCAAGTAGAATTTTCAGCCAACACTAGTGATACTCCGAATTTAAGTGTTCGATTTTTCGCAGACTGTAATGGTATTGGAATATTTGAAGAAATCAGCGAATGTAAAAATATAGAAGAATATACACCTATTAATTTTAAAGCGGAATTAAATTTGACAGAATGGGAAGACTTTGATGAAGAAGTATGTTAATCAGTTAGTGTAAAGAGAATTTAAGCTTATTTTAAATCTAAATTTAAGCTCTACCAAGTATCTTAATCTATGGAATTTAATTCTACATTCTACATCTTAATTTTATATATTTGTAGACTTATTCAGAAACAATTTATTAATTGTAATAATTGAAAAGAGGTATTTGTTACTATCTGTGTTATCATTATCATCAGAAAATTAAAACTAAAATTCTTTTACAAAATTGAGAATTTTGTATAAGAGTACCTACTCCTTTGATTTGGTAGGAGTTAAAAATTTTAATTAATCAAATATGTAATTAATTAGAGTACCTATAATACATTTAAACTAAAATAAATGAATATAAGATGCTCAATCAGTTGCTCAAGTTTCCGCGATTAAATATTACGATCATTTGCTTTTGCAAAGTGTGGATAATAAAATAATTTCATTCAGTCAGTAATAATAGTCAGTAATAATCACAACCGACTATATAAAATCCTCAATTTTATATAAATATTTAGTTTTAATAATCTACAAAAGATGAGAATGTTTATCAAAAACTTGCCTCTCGATTAGAAATAAGTTTAATGTGTGTTAAGTGTTTCATGTGTACTAGAAGATTATGGTATTTTCTTTAATGTGATTTTATTTGTTATTTTAAGACAATAATAATACGAGAAAAGAGCATTAACGAAGAAATAATCGTACACATCGAGACTGTTGGAAGTTGTAAATGTCAAAATTTAAATAATAATAAAAGATGCACACATGGATCTATAGATTGTGATCTTTGCAAGTGCGACATAGGATGGTAAGTATTATCATATTAAAAAGAGATAGGTATAGGTTAGTATAACAGAAAAATTATGAGATATGCGAGTAGTTTCCAAAAATGTAATAATATACTGGGTGATCCATTTAAAATAACTAAGATGCTACCACTTTTAAATGATCCGGCAACACTGTAACGCTGATAATATTTTAAATAGATGGAGCAGGTTCCTTTATATAAAAATCGAAATTTTCAAAACAATCCTATCAACCGGTCCTCCTATTACCATCGCCGGAAAGTCAGTTAACGGTAACGGCTAGACAGCTAACTTTTAATCCAGTATGTGTGCCAGTGAGCAGCTGGCAAAGTTAAAGAAGATTGAATAGAAAAAATTAATAATCCTTGAATTATTGTTGGTACATTCATTTACAAATAAAATCAGAAGAGACCGCTTCGATTAATTCCAGTGTTCTACCTTTTTCTCGACTGGAAAGTCAGTAACCGATAGCGGCTAGACAACTAACCTTTAATCCATAAGGATATTTCGAGATTTTTCATTTTTTCTTTTGGTTATAAGCTTAAAGCTACCTAAAATTCAAAATTTGAAATTTGTAACTCTTCTAGAAGTACCTACCTTAGAATTTTGATGATGTGTCAGTGAGTCAATGTCGAAATTAAAAAAAAATTAACAAGTGATAAAATGAGGTATAATTACTAGGTATTTTGGTAATCTAGCCAGCTATAGCATGTTCTCATGTGGAGTTGGAATAGAAAATTAATATTCTTGCTTTATCCACAACAAAGTTACAGGGTGGTCAAAAGTACCGCTGATACCTTCGAGAAAAGGATGGTACGGCTGTGCTCGACTTTAAACTATCTAAGTTTTACAGTTGGGGGTTGGAACCTTTGATGTTACAACAGCAAATTAATACACTAATTCGCCACAATACACCAAAACACTTTATTCTTGCACTGCACTAACCATGTTAGCATCATCAGTAGATGATTAAAACTATATTTTTAGTTGTAATCTGATGAAGCTAACATGGTTAGCGAAACGCGCGTCCAGTGCAAGAGTAAAGTGTTGTGGTGAATTACTGTTCTATTTTGCTATCTCTAAGTAGTTCTCTACAGGAAATATAATACAGGATGTAACTGAACAAGTGCCATAAAATCAGTAGGTTATTGCTAAATAAAACAATAAAATATAGCGTTATATGTTTTATATTTTTTTTAATCTGCAGAAAGAGACTGGTCCTTAATATATTTAGTTGACTCATTTCCACTTACTAAAATGAAAAAAAAGGGAAATATTTACATATCCCTATTATTAGAAACAAAATCTTATACAGGGTGTCCCAGAAATAAGTGCAAATATTTTAACTGGTAGTATAATTCAACCCCAGAAACACGCCTATGAGGTTTTTTTGCGAAAAAAATTTTTGGAAAATTCGAAATTTTTTGGAAATTTTTTTAGTTTTTAGTTAAAAATAGAGGTGGGTTGTGAAATCGCAGTCCGCTACTTTGTCACAGCTCCACCAACGTCGCAGTATGTGACTGCTCCAGTTCCAAGAAAATCGCAGTGACATTTCGGAGCAGTTTACAAGTTTAGGACATCTGCGCTCGTGAGTAGCAATAGGAGCAATAGCAGGCAATAGTGTAAATTCTGAAAATGCTCCTAGCTCTGTCGCCCGGTCAGACTGTTCCAGTCACAGTCGTCGCAGGTCGCAGTCGACTGGAGCATAGTATATTGAGTATATTCTGTGTACTGGAGCTGTTGGGAGTTTGGGAACGGGAAACGTAGCAGAGTTCGCTTTTTCTTTCATGAATCTAAATAAGATATTTATGTATTATATATTAATCACAAACAGATGTTTTTGACAAAGGTAATTTTTAACTTGTTAGTATGTTTATTTGTTAGTTAATTTTGTATCTGTGTTTTGTTGTATATCCTAAATCTTTTATTTGATCTTATACATTCATATAAGTTTTATTATTTATATCTATTTTTAAGGTCTGATGATGGCTAAATAGCCGAAACCGGTCACTAATAAAGATTTTTTTGACAGTTTCGACTTTGAATTGAATATAACATTAAGTTTTTACCATGGGCCACCACTCTGTGAAAATGAACAGACTCTTTAAGATATTTATAGCAAAGTGCTTGGTACTTAGAAACACTCAAATTCTTCTGAATAGACTAAAAAAATATAGCAACATCTATCAAACTAAGACATCAGTATAGTACCGTACAGCCGCGATTTTAAGAGCTCTAGGGGCCCGTAGTTCGGAAAAGTTCGAATCTTGTTCGCAAGGGCCCGGGAGGCTTGGGGCCCGTCGGTGACTTACCCCGATTGCACAGACGTTAAAATCGCCACTACTGATCGAAATAAAAAACGGCGTCCAGTTGGCTTGGAAATGACAATCGATAACATTCCCCATAAATTTTACATATAAAATGCCAGCAATCTTCATTTCATAGCTATCGCTGACGCGTTTTTTCGATCATACGATATAAATAAATAAAAACTAGACGATGATGTTGCCTATCATAATCACACCTATAGTCCTGTACTTTTTAGTAAATGCAACGAACGGTGCCGAACACCGAGTGCGATTTTTCGGAGCAATTAACCTATAAAACTACATTTTTAATTTATAGGTTAATTGCTCCGAAAAATCGCTGCTACTTGTCACAGTGCTTTTATTGGAGCAGTCGCAGAGCGTAGCAGCTCCACAAAAATCGCAGACTGGCCCACCTCTAGTTAAAAAACATAATTTCTTGATAATATGGCAACATAGGTATTAGATTAAATTTGCAAGAAAGAAAATCCAGAAAAGATCAAGTGGTTCTCAAAATTTTAGCAAAAAATATTTCTTTTTGGAAATTCTCAAAGTAAAATAACTCCGTTATTTTGGACTTATTTGAAAAACGACAAATAGAAAATATGTTTCTTTTATCGAGATCTACCACCCCTTAAAATATTTGCACTTATTTCTGCACTATGACTCTTCAAATTTAATATCACTCCACAATACAGAGAACAATAAAACACTTAATGGAACATGACCATTTATTAACTTTAAAATCTTTTTTTTGAGTAACATATTCTAAATTAAAATATTTAGTTATTCTAAAAATGACCGATTTGGGTAAGAAAAGTTAGATACTCTTACTAAAATTTAGAATATATTGTATTAGTATACTAAAATAAGAATATATTGTAATTATTTTAAGCTATGAAACGAAAATAATTTTTAAGTATTATAAAAAATATAAATTTTTATTTTAGGAAAGGTGAACATTGCGAGGAAAAATGTAGTGACAGTTTAATTGATTGTATAAACAATACATCGGAGTATCTTTGTTCGGGAAGGTAGGCATTTAAAACATATTTTTTAAGATAGATGTTTATCGTATAAAAGGCAAAATTGATTTTGTGCTTTAATAAGAATAGGGTTGTTAAATTTCTACAGCGGCCATAGTGATGAGCGAGATTGGTCTTGGTCTGATTCTTGCACAAAAAGCAAGACCAAGACCAAGAACGACCAGTGCAACACGAAGACCAAAAATTGTCAGCTTAGGAGCTTGGAACATCCTCAAAAGGAAAATTCCACTCCTCCAACCCCCAGTGACGCCATCCACAAAGAATATACTATTTTGAGAAACACTTCATTGTAGTAATGAACAATAAAATGATTGGAAGAGAGAGATTGGATTGGAATAGAGAAACAAGTTTGCTCAGCTGGTAAAAGACCATATCATAACGTAGTATATTGAATTTTCAAGCAAAGCAGGAAATTGATAGTGGTATTTGGTTAGAAACGAAAACTAAATACTACGAACCAATAGGCACCAACCCCAGTATTCTTTAGGCAGAAATCTACATGATCAAAAGATGCGTACAACTTAGCTTAAATAGGAACTAACGGAAACAAGAAATTGCTATCTTATCCGATAGCCAAACAGCATTAAAAGCGATCAAATCAGTAACCATCAATTCGAAGTTATTCAAAGCAAGCCTAGAGGAGCTGAAGAAATTAGGTAAAGAAATTAAGGTCCTCCTACTCTGGATGCCAGCCCACCAAGAGTTAAAAAAACAAATTATCTAGCTAGAAAAGGTGGGAACACGCCCACTTACTGAACCAGAACCGTTTTGCTTCTCAAGTGAAAACCAACTTAAAGAGGGACTCAAGAACCTGGAAGACTCTATCCGTAACCGGTCTATTGTATTGACTAAGAGTGGGTCCCATGGGACCCTCCACTGCGGTCGCGAGGGCCTATTGTGGCTCAGTTTCTACAAGCTCTTTGATATAAAACAGCGTTAAAGTTTACCCTCAAGACCCAGCTTTTTAACATAGGCCGTTAAGTCCGAGGGTGATATGTCTCCTAGGTCTGATAGGTGTAGCATGAGTTTGCCAAACATCTCAAACCTGGTCCTGCCCCCAGCGGGGCAGGTACACATAACATGCTTCATTGTTTCGTCATCTTCCCATCCTCTGTAGGTGTGATCTCAGCCGGCAGTGGCCCGTGTACACTGCAGTGAGTGTACGCGCTCCATTCCTTCCAGCCAGGGTTGGCATGATTTAAATCGTGATTTAAATCAAGTGATTTTTTTAATTTTAATCATGTGATTTAAATCAAAAAATTAATTTTAATGAAACTTTATAATAAATCAAAAAATAACTGTAAAAGTTATAAAAATGTATCCTAGGAAATTACAAAAAATATTTCTATAACAGATAATAAATCGAAAAATAATTGTAAATTTTATAAAACTATATAAAAATATCTACTCATCAATTTAAACGTTGAACCGATTTTTGAAGTAATTTCGTGTGAATCCATAAGACCGCTAAACGCAGGAATTTATTTTAAAATTTATTTATAAGTGACAAAAATTCGCTTTTCGAATACATATCATTCGCCGACTAGTGCAGAACTAGGTTCTTCTGATATAGAGACTATATCTTCATTCCCGAAAATCTATAATCGTTGACAGAAAATATGTTGTTTTATATTTTTTTTGAAACGTTGGTATGTTTCCAAATTCTTACCGACATTTTGATTTGCAGTAAGTACTTTACACTTTGACATTAGATAATACTAATTTTATTCTCGACTTAAGACTATTTCCGAACAATAGTGTATTGTTTTATTAAGAGTAGAAATTATACTTTTTTTGACGATGCGTACATTTGAAGGACCATCGTAAAGCTATTCCGACGTTACAAGGAGGCACAAAAAGTACATTTTTACTCCGAATAAAACACTATTTTTTTAAAACATTACAAATAATTTTTTAATTAATTTCAAACATTGCAAATAATACAACCAGTAATCGAGAAACGATTTGTACACTCGTTGAATTTGACACCTAATATCAGTTTAATAATATATTTTTGTACTTTTGTGCTTAGGCGTAACAGTGCTTTACTTTTATGCCTATAGCCGTTAAAATGACAAAAATTAATACTTTTGAGACGTTTGAAAAAAAATCCTTTTGATCTGAAGCGAGTGACTTTTTTGCGGAATATATTGGTGACCGATGTGGAAAAATGACACGCTCCGTAGAATTGTTAATGTTATCGATATCGCTCAGACTTATTAAGATTTAGCCATTTAGGATAGAACTTTAATTGGAAATAAGTCCTAGTCATTTGGAAATCCGGTTTAAATATTGTTTTGAATAAAAAAATCTGATTTAAATAAAAAAATCTGATTTTTTTTATTTTTTTAAAAAAATCATGATTTTTTCCAACCCTGCTCCCAGCCTTTAGGAGTTTTCCTCTACAGCAGATTGCAGATGTTCTATGTTTGGATGGCCCTGCTAGGATTTTCTTGGCATGTTCCATTCCCGGACTGTCATTCCAGTCCCGGAACCGGTCTAAGACACTCGAAGAAACTTCTCAGAACTTACGACTGAGAAAAATTACAGATTTTTTTGATTTAAAAAAGAACAATGTTTGGATTGTCACGGGGTTTTAACAGGACACCAGGCCCTAGACACTCAATGGTAATTTTATAGAACTAGAAATTTAGTTTCTTCCGCATCGCCAGACGGCGCAAAAGACATTAAAGTACAGGTTTCTAACTTATATTATGAAGATGACATGACAGTCTCTATGTTAATTACTGTCTGTGGTCTAGTTTTTGTCTAGTTGACAAAATGTTGGTGATCCGTCAAGTTATTTTTAAATCATTATTTAAATAATTATTAATTCAGATATTCCCTGAGATTCCTGATTTGTCGGAAAGTTCAGTGATTTGTGTTTATAGTTTGTGTTTTTATTAGTTTGTGCATTCTGATACTTACAGTCGATCATCATTTTCGTGTTAGATACTAAACTTTTTTATTAAAGTCATTTTGACATTTTAGAAATAATAATTTATAAACCAAATAAAAAAATAGTTTAATCATAAATAAGTAAGTACATAGTTGGTAATATATAGTATTTTTAGTAACAGTTAATTAGTAGTCTATAATATTTTTACTATATTATAATTTAGTTGTTAAACCAAAAAATAGGCGCTATGTGATCTATTGTTGATGTTTAAAATGTATGTATTTATAATTTTAATTTTGTTGTAATTATGTTACACTTCTAATGATCTAATAAAACATAAAATGGCAGTAAAAAAGTCTATATTTATTATTTTATATTTTACAAGAAATATTTTTGCGCTTGAATAACGTTACCGTTTTAATTAGCGTTAATAAGTAACGGAACGCTAAAATTATGTTATGCCAAAACTCTCCATTAGTTTCTTCCGGATCACCAGGTGGCTCCTTTGAATAAGAAGACTAAGGAAGGAGCATAATGCTATCCATGTATTCATGCATGGTGGGCGGAAAAGGCACCATAAAAGCTCTCTAGGGTGGGGATCCTTGACAGTTCTGTTTGACGATTCATTTGACACATTTGAATTTGATTTGAAATTTTGTGGATTTGTCAGTCTTTATGGAGCTTATTTTATGTTATTTATTATTTATTCTACTACTGATAGTTGTATAAAGGTAGTAAATCTAGATGGAAATTGTGGCAGAACTTAAATTAACAGTGACACTATCGCGATTTATCGAAAAAGACTCTAAAATAGTTGGTTGTGTAGCGTGCGGTAGATCTCGGCAAAAATTGAGTGAAATAATGGAACAACTTTTCGCTAGTAAGTGACTATACCATAATATACATACGTGTAGTAAACCGATCATTTATGAAATTCACTTTTTCATGAAATTCACTTAAATTAACTAAATTATATATTTTTCTTGCTTTTTAGCTTTTATTTATTACTTGTCAAAGATTAGATGTCAAAGAATTTAGATACGTTAATTTGACTTACCTGCTTCAGTAGCGTATCGGATGTTTGTGTTAATAAATACTTATTATAACTTATCTATTTTTATTAGAATTATATATTTTTATAACAATTTTAATAACTACCAACATTTATTCACAACGTAAAATAAAACAACAAATTATTGAGTCTACCCCACGTCTACCCTACATCATAGTTTTACATTTTTTAAATAAAATTAGAACGACACTGATAAACCGGAATTTAAGTCGGCCATATTTGAGGTCCATCGCGGTGTACCTAAGATTTTTGATATGCTCCTTCCTTAGTCTTCTTATTCAAAGGGTGGCTCTAAATGACGGACCCATTTGTTTTATATCAGTGTCCAATCTATCTCTAGTACGTGACATTAGTCTATGCAGGACACTGTCTCCTCAATGGACACCTCACCAGATTGAAACTAAGAAACAACGGCGATTGCAGATTCTGAGGGGAAAGTGGGTAAACACCAGAACACCTGATGAGGTCTTCTGGTGTTTATTTTTTTAGATGGTCTCAGTGATGACTGAGTGCTCCAAGACGACAACCATTCGTGCCGTAAACTTTAGTACAACTGATCTCGGAGATGCAGAACTAACCTCTATAAAATCGTCTCAGATGCTGGCTTTTGTCAAAACCCTAAGATTTTATGTTGAGTTAAAATTCAAGAAAGGGGATATAAAATAGATCTGTAAGATAGCGGAGATTAACCCTCCCCCCTGCATCTGCATTCTACAAGACCAAGGCCAAATCTACAAGACGCTTACAGTCTTGCATTTTTCACGTTTATATAATATAAGAAATTACTTATTTGTTCAAAATTATTGTTTGAATTTATTATAAATAGTATTTTTCCAGCTATTGCATAAAATTTTAATGAAAGACATGCTGATTCAATATGATATATTGAAAAATAAACATTTCGATGTACTTAAACAGCCATTAAACGGTAGCCTACTAAAATGCCGTTAATAGATATTGTGACGTCGTTCATGTCGGCGGAAAGTAATGCCTAGCCTTAAGCTTTTTGCAAGAGCACCTGTGGGTCAGTGGCTGAGGCTATCGCTTCGTAAGCGGATGGTCTGTGGTTCGAATCTCACGCCGACCAAGACTTTTTTATATATTTTTTGCTTATAGCGTGATCTTTTTGTTTCACACTTTTTGGTTGGATTGGTTCAGTTATTTGGCGGGTTGGTTAGCGTGGTTATTTGGAGGGTGTTAATTCATTGGTTAGTTGGTGGGGTTGGTTGATTTTTACTAATTTATATTTTTTTTTATATTTTTTTATCAGTGTCGAGGTTAGTTGCGTTGGTTAAGTTGGTTATTTGGTGGGGTGGATAGCGTTGGTTAGTCCTTATAAAATTCCTATATTTCATAAAGCCGTCAAGTGCGTCACATCAACGACGTCATACCTATTAACGGCATTTTAGTAAGCTACCGTTTAACGGCAGTTTAAGTACAGCCTAAACATTTTAGTGAGACAAATAATTTTTTTCTCTCCAAAAAATCCTGTTTGAGTATTTCGCCACTGCAAGAAAATCTACAAAATAAAATAGTTATTTTTTTTAAACACTTCTGCGTTAATCCAAACGGAAACTACTTGTCAGAAATTAGGTTTACAGATATACAAATTTGCCTAACGAACAAAAAAATGCTTAAAGTTTCGGAAAATTTATCTCTTTCCGTCGTCGGAAGCAAACAAATACAAAGAATAAAGAATAAAACTATTTAAAATATTTAAATTCAACTATTCGAGAACACTTTAAAACAGATATGTCTACAAAAACCGTTGGCATTCAATATTTCAAGCATTGATGGGACACAAGGCACAGAATAAATTTTAATAACGCCAAAATTATAATGAAAGAAGCGATAGGCTCTAAAAGAAAAATATAACAGAGGCTTTTTTAATACAATATAATAAAAATAAATGTATTGCTCATGCATCTGTAGATGTTAGTAATGTATGGCAATCGCTTCTTTGATTTTAAATAATATAACATAAATAAACATAACATACGTAAAAATTAAAAATAATCATACAGAAAGTTTGGGGTTTTTTGGTTTTACCTTATTAAGTAATTGTTATCAGGTAGAAAATCAGGTAGTAATTGTTAATTTTGAAGTTTAATTTGATATAATGTCATTTTAACAGAACGTCAACGGTTTTTGTAGACGTATCTGTTTTAAAAAAAAAACTAAAGTGTTCTCGAATAGTTGAATTTAAATATTTTAAATATTTTTTTACTTTATTCTTTGTATTTTTTTTGCTTCCGACGATGGAAAGAGATAAACTTGCCGAAACGTTAAGCAGTTTTTTGTTCGTTAGGCAACTTTGTATATCTGTAAACCTAACTTCTGACAAGCAGTTTCCGTTTGGATTAAGCAGAAGTGTTTACAAAAAATAACTATTTTATTTTGTAGATTTTCTTGCAGTAGCGAAATACCAATAAAGGATTTTTTGGAGAGATGAATCCGCCACATAGGTATAGACATTTTTTAAATAATTTTTATCTTTAAAGTTCTATTTGCATTAAATTACTAAAAATACTATTTATTTAATGATTTTGTATGTAGATAATTATATATTTTGATGATAAAAATGTCTTAAAAAAAATCAAGATTTACAAGGGTCTTGCAGCAAGACTAAGATCTCGGACTTGCAGGACCCTGCAAGATCGAGACTAATGCCAAAGCTGTCTTGGTCTTGAATTTGCTACAGCTACAACGGATTGCGAATTAGTTTACAATCCCCCTTCACCCCTACTCAACCCAAGGTTATTAAAAGATAAGGTTGTCTCAAACTTCTGTAACTTTTGGACCAATAGGAGCGAAGCAGAATAGCATCCTTCTGACGTAGACAGAACGTATAAAATCATAGATAAAAGGAATAAAAAATAAAATGCAACGGACAAAGAGAGCTAAATGGACAATACAATAAAGAAAACACACATCAAACAACTGAAAACTATTGACGCCATACACTATAAACAATAAAGTACACAATGAATATCGATTCGGAAATGCACTGTCGGACTGCACTGTCATTCCTATGACGTAGTAGATGACGTTTTCTATAATGGCGGATCGAGTTACGAGACAACCTTATCTTTTAATAACCTTCTACTCAACCCAACTTCTTGGTATAATTTTCTTTTCAATGAATATTTTATATGCATTTATAAGTCAATTCATGTATTTTTAAGTCAATTTTTTTAGAAAAGGAAGAATTTAAAAGTGACCAAGAAAATACAATCAACGTATTTTTGCTTCTATTTATCGTCATTTTTCTACTCTAATTTAAAATAAAATCTCCTCTAAAATTTATTTTAGAGGAGATTGCATCTGCGGAAAGTGTGAATGTGAGAGAACTTATAGCGGAGAATTTTGCCAATATAAATGTCCAGTGGATGACAATGGAAAAACCTGCGCAGGGCACGGCACATGCACGGATGGTAACTGTGTTTGTTTTTTGGGTTATTCAGGTTACAATTGTGATTGTCCCCTGTCTAACGAATCCTGTAAATTTGGAACGGGTAAGAATACCATCATTATTTTCTAACATTTTAATTTATAGTCCATTTTAATTGTTAATTTATTTATAGCAATCAATAATACTGCATGATCGAAAAAAAAACGGCGTCAGTGATAGTCATAGATAAATGCAACAAGTTTAGATTGGAAAGCCCGTAAAAATTTTAGGTCGCGAAATTATTTTGGGTCGCGACCGTTATACGCGATCTGGCGCTGCTATAGCGGTTGCTAAGAACAACGGCAAACAAAAACAGAAATAATTTTCTCTTGTCAAAGTCAGAATCTTCAAAAATCATAATAATCTTTCAAAATCCAAACCGCTCTCATTAAAGAAATTCCGAAAAGTGTTTATAGCATCCATTTTCAAAGTAATAATTGCTATCTTGTGAGTTTAATTCAAGTTTTATTTACTCCAACCGGTGATAATTGTGAAAAAGTGGCATTAAAAACTTAAAAAGCTGTGCTGTGAACTGTGAACTGCAAAAACCATCGTGGATCGTGGCATAACGTCGGTTTCCAATGTTTCATAGGTATTTCATACATGCGTCCTTATATAAAATAAAGTTTCTTGTATGCAACACACTGTCTTTTATTTATAAAATTAAACAAAAATAGTAATAAATTTGAATAAACAATATTTGGCGATATAATTCCGGAAAAAGCCGAACCGCTCCGAAATTTTCAAAAGTTTTGGGTCGCGACCGTTGCAAGGATAGCGCCAAATAGTGTTTACATTGTCCTTATGGGCACTTTCCAATCTAAACTTGTTTCATTTATCTATGGTGATAGTGAAGATCTGTGATCGCTGTCATTTTATATGTAAATTGATGTAAATTTATACGGGAAATGTCATCGATCATCGTTTCCCAGCCATCTGGACGCGGTTTTTTCTTTAGCATAGATATTTAATTAGGTACACGTTACAGGAAATTATTATTATTTCAAATTAATTGGAATATATTTGTTGAAATTCATCGATATGTTCAGGTTTAATAAAATATACTTGCATTTAAATTATATATCAAAAAGTTTTACCGATTTTTCTCTTTCAAATAATAATTTCGAATTAGGTAAATTTTATTCAAATATAGCTGTAGTATATGTAATTAAACCTATGTACTTACTTCAAGCTACATAATACATAAGTCACAACTTATTTTTCGTAGATAGGTTCGCAGTGCAATAGCTTGAATACGTACCTGGTAGTTCCTTTATTTTCTTTTATATATTTTTTATATATCTGCTGGTTTTATTTATAAAGTAATGATGTTCTGGTTTTATTTATGTCGAAAGGGATTTAATTTATTTATATCTTTGCTTTGCGTTCGAGGGGATTTATTTATTTATTATTTATTCCATAGAATAGTATATTCCATTGCTTATAGAATTTTTAATTCTTTTTACTAAAACTAAAAATAAATATTTTTTTTCTTTTAATTAATCAAATAATATAATATAATTATAACTATTTATAGTATCTAATATTTATAGATAAAGATAGTAAATATAAATTAACCGTCAAAGCATATCAACTCTTATAGAATATAAGTAAACTTTTTTCGGTAATTTTAGATGTGCTGTGCAATAATAAAGGCACATGTAATTGCAACGAATGCCATTGCGATGATAATTTTTTCGGAACTTACTGTGAAAAGCTGAAAGAGGAAAATCAGGTTGAAGAAAATGTACTTTGCAAGAATTTTGACAGTATGGTTAAAGATAATCAAGGAAAGCTTGATGATACGAGCATAATCATATATAGAGCAGATAATATAACTACATATTTAAAATATGTTTCTCCAAATTATGTTTGTAGTAAGTATTATTTTGAGTATATTGTAGTATAACAACCCAGGCTCGTTCAAAAAAGTTGAAGATGTATTATTTTAGCCAATGACTAAAGAATATAAGGACATGTAACGCCCAAGATATACCATATACGGGGTGCAGCAGAATTTGTGACCTTAGAGGCCATTCTGTTGATGGCAAACAATGAGTCATCATTTGGTCACCAGCGACAATTTTAGCGATTTTTAATAGTTTGTGTGTAGTAAACTTTGTATAAACTTTATTACAATGGTGATTAGTTGTTCAGCTTTCAAGTGTAAAAGCAGCAGCGATAAGAAAGAGCCAGGAGTTACGTTTCATAGGTAAATGAACAGTCCACTCCAACTTTTTAGCGTTTTCTTATTGAATTCGATAATTATTCTTCAATTTCAATTAACGTCTATATGTACTTGATATGTACTATACGTCGATACTAGTTTTGTACCTTTTGTTAACATATATAGGCGTAGTCAAAACAACAGGCGTAGTCTATACATAGGTGTAGTCAAAACAATTATCAAAAAATATAAATATTGCTTCAAACAGCTAGGTTAAGAAAAATATGTGCCACGGCAATGTTTGGTGACAACGGCACAATTTGCTCTCGGGTGTTATTTGTCCTTGGATTCTTTAGTCATTGATTTTAGCCAACTGTATAACAAACAGTTTAAATCAAATAAAGGAACCTAAGTTGTGTTAAAAATATTTTTTATTCTGACTTACCTCGGATGCGCTCGACAGAATCAATATTAGAGAAATTTGTGGAGAATAGGTTATGTAAATCAAACGCTAGATTTGTAAATAGCCCTATATTATTTTATTAAATGAAATGAAAGGAGTGTAGTACTGTAGTATTCTGCCTGGAATTCACAAGTAAAAGAGATCCGCAGAGAAAACCTTCATCACTATTCCAAAGAATCCAACTATGCTGTTATGAACTTTAGAATAGAATAGAATAAGTGGGAGGGGGGTTAATCTCTGCGACCTTAGAGATCTATTGTGCCCCCCTTTCTTGAGTTATAACTCATCATACAGTCCCAGGACTTCCTACGGAGACCCGTGTCCCTCACAGTCGAGGAGCTACGACCCAGGCCGGGTAGACGAAACGGTAGCTTGTGTCGCCTGTTGGGTTTAGAGGTAGGAGGTAGGCTCCCGACCCTTGGAGGAGGTGGTAGCTTGTATGCCACTTGCGGAGGATGGTCTCACGCAAGTGTCAGCCACCTCTCCTGTAGTTCTCTTTGGGTTTGGCCCCTTGGAAGTTTCATTGTTACTGTTCCCAGTGTCGCTTTCCCCACAGCTTCACCGGTGATGTTTTTATTACTATTATTATCAGATCTCATAGTGTTCCTATGAGTCGCTAGGGACAGTCGGTCCACTTCTACAGAGCCCCGCATGTAGAAGTAAGGGGTAAAATACAATGGGGTGCCCCCCGGTGCCCCAAGGTTGAGGCTGTCCGTAGCCTCGCCCGGTATCGTTATATGTCTTGGTGCAATTCCCTGGCCACGACACTACAGTCAGGGACAAGACGATGAGTGAGATGCTTCTTAGACCAAGCCAAGTGCTAGAGGGGATTCCCCCCAGCACCTGACCAGGAGCTTCCCCACCAACGACAAGGTCTTGCATCTCCTAGGGGAAGTTGCATCTCCTAGGGGAAGATGAACTTTAGAAATAACACAATTACTGTCTTCGTACCAAAGTCTGAGGTTTAACACACTTAAAACATTCATAACTGAAGAGATTTTGATAGTTAGCAGGTCCCCTACCTGCAGGTACTGAGATCCCTGGATTCGAGAGACTTCTCAGCTATAGTTGATATGTTTGGTGCCAATATATTTAGACTGAGTTATATCATTCTTTGGTTGTGGCTGCTCACTTGTTTGCTAAGATATCCCCCCAAGCACGGTTGAAAATTATTTACATCATAAATCGAATTTCCGGATGAAATAAATCAAGGAAGGGTTTGGCACAGAATATTATAACAGAAAAACAAAATATAGCTCATATCAAATAAACTTTTAGTCACGTGATTAAGCTTGACCGGCACAGCGCAGCGTTGCCAACTTTTACATATTTTCATGTAATAAAAGATATTTTAGGAACTCCATTAAAATCGGTTCATTAAAAACATAGTCGTTAACATTTGAATGTAAAATAGAAAAAAATCGTCTAAATCCAAAGAGTGCATATTTAGTTGAGGAATACGGTGATCAATAGGTATTATCATAGACTCTGACTGGCCGTCGAAAGGCGCGTGGTCATCGTGAAACAAGAAGAAGAAGAAGAAGAAGAAGGTATTATCAGCACATCTCAACTCGGGAAACGGGAAGTTTAAGAAAAAAATGGTATTATCTATTTTGTGTTGTCTTCTAGATGCCAACTTTCGTACTTAAAAATAACTTACAGCGATTTTCCTTGACCGATTTATCTGTAACTATTTTTCCATAACCTCTATCATTTACGTTTACATTATATTTATTCCCCATTATTATTATATTATCATATCTAGTGCCGTTTTTAACAGTTATTTTCTAAACTATATTCTATTCATATCTTGTACCCTGCCTGCTTTCAAAACTACTCTCAACATAATAGTTAAATATATGAGACCCCTTTTCTTAATTTAAATTTATTTTTGATTTCTTTTTTATTTATTTGTTTACCTACCTATCATAATATTAGAGAAAATACTTCGATATTAATCTGTATTTTCTTTTTCATCTTAGACAATTTTTTATTATAAAGATTAATATTATCGGATTTTGTTTCTAGATCAAGAGTGCACCATTGAAAGTTTCGAAGATATCCAGAGATGTATGATAAAGTACTGTTACGAAAAGACAGATTTTGGAGGAATACAGCTATTAGTATCTCCAAAAGATTGTAGCAAAAATGCCAGGGCATATGGTATAAATATTGCAATAGGTAATTAAATGTTGATTTACTATATGCTCAATAATATTTACGAATTGTATATGTTATAATAGTCTGTTATAATATTTTCAATTTTATGTCAAATGTGATATGCTCAACGGAGGAACATTTTTTTTGATGCATTGGGAAACTTTTTGATAATAAAGTTGTTTTTATTTGTTGAGTATGGGTCAAAATAAAACTATATAATACGATAGAAAAACAGAGCACGGCAGACGCCTCGGGAATGACAACAGATGATAATGTTGGCGAGCTCTTGGCGATCTAACACTAATTATAGAAAGATTATAAAGAAATAAAATATTTCCAGAGACACAAATCGATTCCCAAAAAAATATTTTTCTCGAATTTTAAACTAGAAAATGAATGTAAACTAGAAAATTAATTTTAATTCATTTTTGCTAAATATAAAAATAAATTACAACCTTCTTATGGCCAAACCAAAAAGAATAGTAGGAGCGAAATAATGACGTCTATGGCTTCACCTCGCCAAAATTATCATCGATTGATGGTTTTCCAGCCGCCTTTGAAGCCTTTTTTTCGATCATATGGCATTTAAAGTTACTTGCACAAAATTATTTGCCTGCATACATAAAAAACGAAAAAAATATATGTTAATATATTTTTAATATATGGGAAACATAAAATTTGTATAATATAAAAATTTTAACCACTATTTATTTGTCTAGAGCTATACACTTAATGTGATATATTTTTATTTTTATCTTTTGTCGAATTCTACTTTTAAAGTCAATCTATTTGCCTTAAATAAATAAATAAATAAATGCCTTTATTGTCAAAATATTTTTCAATTTGTAGACAAAGGTAAACTAACACCCAAAGTAAAAAAACAAGGTACACAAACAAACAAACAAAATATAATACAAAACATTATACAAATAATATTGTCAGTCTTATTGTTAAAATAAACATTTATAAATGTTTATAATGTCAAAGAACAAAAAAATAAAAATAATATTCAAAAATATTTAGCTATAGTTTATAGTAAAATATCAATGACAATAGCAAACATTAGACCAGTGTTTACAAGATCAAATTTGATTTTCAAGATATAATTCATTTACGGCGTAGAAAGCCTAGTAAATAAGAGTTCCATGCTTTGCGAAATGAAAAAAATGATGTTATGGATTTGATTTCAAATGGCAGGTGATTGTGCATTTTTTTCGAGTTGTATAATATTGAACTTTTAACTAACTCTGAGCGTGGGGTAGGTAGATAAAGATCTTGCTCCGCGTTCCTGAGTGGATAAGTGTAAGATGGCCTTTCTTGAGAAGCTGATACATGTTTACGTATTAGGTAAACGGATTCAAATATAAATAAGGAAGGAAGAGTCAATATTTTTAATTTTTTAAAAAAGTCCCGGCAATGAGTTCTGCTATTTAGTCCCAGTGAATATCGAACAGCTCTCTTCTGGAGCCTGAAAATGCGGTCAAATTGAGTCGCACAACACGTACCCCAGAATGGAAGGGCATACCTGAGGTGCGACTCAAAAAGTGCATAATAAACAGTTCTAGCCTTATTTGTATTTACCTTATATTTACATGTTTTTTTCTTTTTCTAATATTTTATTCAATATCAATTTAAATTTAAACTAAGTGTAGATCTCATGCACAATATACTTGTCGAAATGTCGACCAATAACTAAATGAAAAAACAACAGTGTAATTTTTTGACCCAGATCTAACAAATGAAAAGAACTTTAACTATTTTGGTGTTATATAATGGGGGTTTGTATTATGCTAATTTTCCATTTTTTTAGCTATGTTTTCCGCAATAATTGGAATAGGCATTCTGTTCATATTTCTTAAGAAATGGCACATTTATAAACTGGATCAAGCTGAGTTTCAAAAACTTGAGGCAAGCAATTTTGACTATTGAATCAAATCCATTTTAAAAGTCCTTTAACGTCGTACCAAAATCCCTAAAACCATTAGACGAAAAATACTGAAAATAAAATATGCACACACACACACACGGATTTTTTAAAACTCTGTATATTTTTTGTATAAAATAGCAGGTTTAATCGTGACTGACTAAGTTAAGAAAATACTCAAATTTTAAGTGAGGATGCAGTCAATAATCACCACAGTGGCTAGTAAAACTACTTTTTCAAATTTGTCAAGCTTTTCAGAATTTTATTCCCATCATCAGGACAGTTTCTAAAATGTATAAATAAAATAGGCATTAACATTTTTAAATTGTATTACAGAAAAAACAACTTACGACTGAGTCAATTAGCAAAAACGACATCCTCTGCACAAAAAGGCATTAAAACTAGCATCAAATGACATTGGAATACAAGGACATTTCCTTTATAAAATGTTAAAAATTAAAATACATATCCAACGATATTACTTTTTTTTAAAACTCTCCTTATCAAAAGATTTCTAGAATGTTCAGTTCATTGTGGTACTTTATTAAACAGTCACTGTTTGATCGAGCTCGAAACAACAATGTAGAAATTAGTCTTAGTAAATTTTAAAAATTTGTTTTTATTTTAAAAAAAAGTAAAGTCGTTGGATATGTATTTTAATATTTTATAAAGGAAGGACATGCATTCCAATATCATATAATGCTAGTTTTAAGGCCTTTTGTGCAGAGAATGTTGTTTTTGCTAATTGACTCAGTCGTAAGTTGTTTTTTTCTGTTATACAATTTTAAAATGTTAATGCCTTTTTTATTTATACATTTTTGAAACTGTCCAGATGATGGAAATAAAATTCTCGAAAGCTTGACAAATTTGAAAAAGTAGTTTTATTAGCCTGTTTGGTGATTATTGACTGCATCCTCACTTAAATTTTGAGTTTTTTTTTATTTTTTGTAAATATATTTTTTTGTAAACTGAATGTTTCTTTAATTCTCTTTATGATTGTTCTGTAACTATTTTTAATCAAAGAGACGTTTATTTAGAAATATAAAAATGCATAATAGAGAATCAAAATATGTTGTTATAAAACTATAAATTGGTTTTACACCCACTACATTATGCCGAAATCAGTCCGAAGCTTTGAATAAGAAGACTAAGGAAGGAGCATAATGCTATCCATGTATTCATGCATGGTGGGCGGAAAAAGCACCATAAAAGCACTCTAGGGTGGGGATCCTTGACAGTTCTGTTTGACGATTCATTTGACACATTTGAATTTGATTTGAAATTTTGTGGATTTGTCAGTCTTTACGGAGCTTATTTTATGTTATTTATTATTTATTCTACTACTGATAGTTGTATAAAGGTAGTAAATATAGATGGAAATTGTAGCAGAACTTAAATTAACAGTGACACTATCGCGATTTATCGCGATTTATTATATAAAAGACTCTAAAAATAGTTGGTTGTGTAGCGTGCGGTAGATCTCGACAAAAATTGAGTGAAATAATGGAACAACTTTTCGCTCTAGTAAGTGACTATATAATATACATACGTGTAGTAAACCGATCATTTATGAAATTCACTTAAATTAACTAAATTATATATTTTTCTTGCATTTTAGCTTTTATTTATTACTTGTCAAAGATTAGATGTCAAAGAATTTAGATACGTTAATTTGACTTACCTGCTTCAGTAGCGTATCGGATGTTTGTGTTAATAAATACTTATATATTTTTATAACAATTTTAGTAACTACCAACATTTATTCACAACGTAAAATAAAACAACAAATTATTGAGTCTACCCCACGTCTACCCTACATCATAGTTTTACATTTTTTAAATAAAATTAGAACGACACTGATAAACCGGAATTTAAGTCGGCCATATTTGAGGCCCATCGCGGTGTACCTAAGATTTTTGATATGCTCCTTCCTTAGTCTTCTTATTCAAAGGTCCGAAGCAAGGTCGTGTTTCCTCGTCTAACTTTGTCTCGTTTTGGCTTATCTCCGGTTGTCTTGATCTACTTTCGTTTCTTAAAAATGTATCTCCGCTTGCCTTGATCTTCCTTTATTTTTTAAAAACGCTTTGAAACTGAAATGTGCGGAGAAGGGCTTGAGGAGATTTTTTGGCGACTTTCGGTCTCCTGTTGTCTCGGTATTATTTTGTCTCGAGCTACTTCCACGACGTGTTGGTTTCTATACCCGAGACAAAGGACGTTTTTTCATAAATCTCAGTGAAATAAGTAAACCTAGACTTTTCTAAAATATCTGTTATTACGATAATATTTCGTTAATTACATCTCGTTTTATTTTGATATAAAAAATCGACAAGATTAATATTTGAACACATACTTTTGTTAGCTTCCAGCATGGTTTGATATGAATCCATTCAAGAATAAGAAATAATTTGACGATTTTTTTAAATAGTTTAACACCGTGGATTATAAGCCGATAAAAGGCGGATCGTCAGAACAGTTATTTGTCACTGTTGCCCTGTAGTTTTGACGATTTCAAATTTTGGAAATATATTTTTTTACTATATTGTAATTAATACTATTAGACAATGATTAAAACTAAATAGTCTTGTATAACCTTAGAGGAATAGCCAATTTAATCTAACATCGGTAATTATTTTCTAAATGCACTGTTTTTGATTTTTCATGTCATTGTAATATAGTGGTATTACATTACACTCCATCACAAACTAATGATATTTATTCATACTCCATGTTTATTTATTTTTCTGAAGTCACCACAAAGTTTTACCTTGATTACTTCGCGAAGTAGTACGAAGAATATAGACGCGTGTTATAAAAGTTTTTTTATCTACGTCAGTGAGTTAACAGCTTCTTAACTCTTCTCATTACCGCACTCTTTGTTTAGATGACTACAAAGAGAAAAAAATATTTTGTAAAACATTTATTGCACTAAATACAAATAAGCTGTTCTATTGATAATAATTATAAAAACATGAAAACTTATATATTTATTATAAATGTTAATGATACAGTTTGAACAATCTTTCAAGTAAATGCCTGATAAAGCCCATATATTCATTTTAATAGATATCATAGTACGTATCATTGAATAGAAAGCCCAAAGAGACGAAGGCTTATAAGTAGCGGATAAATTGGAAAAATATGAGTACCTTTTCATTTCCATAGGTGTGTACTTTTTTTTCGGTGCACCATTTTTCATACTTAGAGTATGTATATTCATACTTCTGTTTCGATCTTTCTGGAAGCAATCCAGAAATGGCTCTGAATGCCTCTTCTTCAATGTCAGAGGGAATACATGGGGCAATGCCGTCTCTAATAGAACAGCCATGGAGCGAGATTTATGACGTCACGCTAGTTAGATACTACGGATTAATAAATATGTTGTAGAATACATGGAAAACATAATAATTCCTCAGATTTTTGGTTTGTATTTTAAAAATTATATAGTTCACATGAAATATACATAATATACAGTTAATAACTACAAGACATATACATATTTATAGTAATAAATACTTTGGCAAATAAAACTATGAACCATACAAATGCAGCAAATGTTTTACAATATACAAATAATGTATTACATAAGATATTGGGTAAAATGTAAATATATTTAAAATTTTGGGGTTTGAAAATTGATCTAATTTAACAAAAAACATTCAATATCTACTAATAGTGATGTATTATTATTTGCATTCACAAAATTTATATGTATATTTTGCAAGTATCAATGTTCAAAAAATTATATTTACAAATAATACAATATCATCTAAAAAAAGGTGTCAGCGATGGCTATGAAATGAAGATCGCTGGCATTTTATATGTAAAATTATTCTAAAATTTTTGATTTTCTTGGGATTTTTAGGTTCGGAAAAAACGCTGATTTAAGTTTTCATTTGGGTTTTCATTATTTTTATTTGGTTAAAAAAAACGTTTTGGCTAACTATAGCCTTCATCAGTGTTGTGTCATATGAAAAAAATAGTGTCGAATATAATCCAAAAAATTACATATGAAATATTCACACCACATAATGTTTACTGCAATTAATAAACTAATATAAATTTATCAAAAGATGACCACATATTTTTTAGAATGATTATTCTTAACAGTAAAACTATCTACATTGACTATGAAGACTATGGAGTACGCAGTAAACATTATGTAGTGCGTGGTGTGAATATTTTATATGTAATTTTTTGGATTATATTCGACACTATTTTTTTCATATGACATTTCTTTTGATGAAGGCTATAATGTTAGCCGAAACGTTTTTTAAACAAATAAAAATAATGAAAAACCAAAAAAAACTTAATCAGCGTTTTCCCGAGAGCCTAAATCCCAAAAATAAAAAATTTAGAAATTTTAGAAACAAGGTTCAAGAATATCAAATTTTCCAAGATTGTAAAATTCTAGTTAATTTTTTTATGTGTACAATTATTTAGGGAATGTCATCGATGTTCATTTCAAAGCCAACTAGACGCCGATTTTTTTCGATGATACGGTATAATTCTTAAATAAAATGCAAATAACATTCGACCAATTAAAACAAAGAAATATGAATTTCTTAGTATTTTTAGTAACACCTTTATTCTTAAAACTTAATTTTGTATTGCAAATATACCAATTTTATTGTTATTTTATTCATATTGTATTCAGCCATCACTTAAATATTTGATATTAATTTGGTATTATAAATAATCGACACTATTCAGTAAAAATTACTGAACAAATAGTTTTATTTTAATTTAAATTTACATACATTATATTATCAAACAAAACACATTCTTCTTTTAAACTTTATCATTCTTGTCTTTACAAAATCTTTTTAATTTGGAACTCAAAATAATAATCTTTTTCATGATCTTTAATACACATATTCTTTATTTTTCCCTAGATCATAATACCTACTTACGTGTTTATCTTACGTGTTTGAATCTATCGAAGCTAAACCAACAACACTTGGAGTGGACATTCCACAATATGAATAAAATAAACATAATTGTCCAGTTTTCTTTAATACCATCCTGGGAGAATATTATTTTTAAATTTATTAAAGATATTTTCAATAGAATTGTCTTGATTTATAACTCGTACCCACTTTTCTTGCTCTTCCGGATACTTTAAGCTGCCTAGTATAACTATCCTTTCCACCAGGAACACAATAAAGAT